GAGACTCCCCCATTGGAGACAGATCCAGTGTTACCTCATGACAAAATGAGGCAATGAAAGGCCAACCCATGACTAGTCTATAGGCAAGATATTAGAACAGTCAAAAGAGCAGACCAAAGAAGCAAGAAGTGCAGAAGTCATTGCCACAATGCATTTGTAATGTCTGTGTTATCACCTTACAATCTATTATTTGTTCTACAATTGCGAGTTTTGTTAACTTATGCTCATATTATATAAACATATATGTCTACATTAACACATTTGGGCACCAATTGGTCTGTCAGCCGGCCTGATGCTTGAATGTCTGAAGATATAGTGTTTGAAAGTGTTAACATTGGTTAAAATCAGTAACACTCTGACTTATCATAATGCATGAATGCCATCTGAGCACCTTATTTTAATGATCTATTGAGTTTCTTGGTGGATTCACTCATTACTGCATGTTAATAACAATCTCCAACAACTAAGACACACTCCTACAATTGTCACATAGATTTACCATCTTGATACGCAACACCACATATGGCAATGTGGTTGCATGATATTATAAGGATCATTGCTTATTATCACCATAATCACCGTGACACCAAGCCTTGCACTTTTTCTTCACTTGTTTTTAATATTTTAACTTATTCAAATGTTTGGAAATCCAGCAGCAATTTTAGGTCACTCTTCCTTTCTTCATTGAAGGAAAGGCCTTTTATAATTCTTGTTACTTGGTATTAGCCCAGAAAAATATTGTATTATGGTAAAATCTGGAATATTAATTAATATAAGGAAAATATAGGCTAACATCTTATATAGGTGAAGTTGGTCTGGGCAGAAATGCTTTAGGATTCTGAATATAGTTAACCACATTTGCAGCCATAGAGTGAACAGGTGCCGGCTGCATGTTCATGAGCCATGAACTTGCTTCATCAGCTTACCACATGCAGTACCAGCCAAGTGTATCTATAGGCCATGAAAGAGATTTCAAAGCTATACAAATTATAGCAACCAAAAAGGTGTAAAAATATAATAAAAAAAAACAACTTTCTTTCACATCTCTTTTCCACTAGAAAACTATTAAATAGTCAAGACAATATTTTTCATGCATAAAGTTGAAATATGAGTTTCAAAGTGTTTCCAGGAAAAGTAATTTACCTTTTTACATCTGTGAGCAAGCCACAGTCATAATCTGCATAATGGCATAAAAGATTCATTGACATGTGGTACAAAATTAAACAAAGGAAAGAGAAAAGTAACAGAATTTGATTCAAAAAGACATTAGAATAAACAAACAGCAGCATGAAAACAAGAATATTTGCTCACTGAGCAGAAGACTGTTGAATGTCAGGAGGCAAGTTGGCATGATATGCCTGAATATGGTAACTGTAGGACTGCAAAAGCAATACTATAGACCTCCCAGGCATTCATTCATTAATAGATACCAACACCTGAAGAAATGGTCATTACATTGTCCCATCATAAGTTAACATCCATGCATCAGAAGTAACAGTTCTAATCACTTGATGCTAACTGTGTCACACTCTCCTGAATGCTATCACTCCTATCTAAAAGACCCTGAATCCTCTGCACAACTTGTTTTCGTTTAACTCTTGTCTCTGTACTACATCCATTGCATTCCACTGAGTCCAACTTTTCCAGCAGTTGCATGCAATTTTCTGAGACTACTTTTAGTTGGTGCTCAAATTTTGGAAGCAATTCCACTTGCATTTGCTTCTTCAAGTACCCCTGAAAGAGAAAGAAAGCAGAAAATGAGTGAAAGATAACAAGATGGAAGTAATGTGATAATTTATTAAGCAATGGTTAAGATAGAGGACTCTTTAGATGAAGATCTCTAACAAGAGACTATGACTACATTTTGTTTATGGACATTATTTACATACATGTGCACCAAAAAGGGCAGTAAAGTACTTCTCCTACCAAACATCGATTCTCTAAGGCACTCCATGACTATGAGCCTTTTTACTTCCATATTGCAAACCGACAATACCACACTAGCCTATACACAATGCAGCAAGAAAGCTCTAGTTCAGGAAGTTTCCAGGGCCAGTTCAAATTTGTTTCCAATAGTGTCAACAATGCCTTCAAAAGTTCTTACATGAAGTAGTATGGTATTCTGTTGCACCATTACATTGAGCGTAGAACACACAGTTCTCATCAGAAGTTACTATCAAAATAGTAAACAGTTCCTTTGCTGTGTACCTATTCTTGTAAAAAAAATTTTAAAAAGTTCAGGATTGTGGACAGTGCCTATCATTCTGGCAGACCACCAACACTAGCAGAGGGAGTTTCAGGGGAATACACAAAGCAATTGCTCTAAATGGTGAGGCAATGCATAGTCAATGCTGCTTGCAGGTTGTCTGTACAAGACTTCATGTTTCCTTTGTGCAACAACATGATGCACATCACATTGCTATTTCTCCCATACAGACTCCACCAGGTGCATGAGCTGCTGCCAATAGACAATGACATCCATCTGACATTTGCCCTTTAATGTGCTACATAAGGGCACAACTTGGAGATCCATCATTTCCTTTGGAATGAGATGCATTTTTATCCAAATGCCAGAGTGAATACCTACAACTGTATGGTGTGGGCAGAAGAAAATATTTCAAGTTGTGATCCAATCACCATTGAATGATGCCAAAGTGGCTGGTGTAGTTTTACAGCAGACTTCATCATTGAACCATACTTCTTTGAGGAGCCCAGTCCAGGTGGATTCCTCACCATAACTGTAAATGGCCCACACTACACACAAATGTTGCAAGCTTTTGCAATTCCCAAGCTCCAAAACAAGAAGTGTGTGGAGCAGATCATCTTCCAACATAATGGAGCTCCTTCCCACATCCATCATGAGATGAAATCTGTTTTTTGCTAGCACTTTGAGGACTACATTTTAACTCCTTGACCACAGGATTGACTGAGCCAGCCCAGCATCCCAACTATATTATTCCAGCCTCAGCCAGGTGCTAAGTCCCACAACATAAATATACGTCATCCATAGGAAGGTATTTAGAAACAGGTATAAAGAATAAAAATCAGGTAGAGCTATGATGAAAATCATAGCTCTACAACTTTGAAAATTGAGATAATAAATCACATATATATATGTCATCCATAGGAAAGGGGTTAGGCTGACAACTTAAAATGGAATGGCCCCACTGATCAGACCTCCATCTCATACACATCCATTAAGACCAACTCTGCAGCACTGAGTCTAAGATCACCCTAGCAAATGGCTGCCCTTTTTGAAGCAAATGGGGACCACATTGACATTAAGTTATCCAAGCATATTGCTCTTTTTTTTATACCAATATTCTGACTAGTTTACTATAGTCAAGAATTTTATGCTGATCATACTCCTTTTCCATCATAGACTTCCACTTTCATCATAGAAGTCTGCTGCTTTTATGTTGTACCAAATTACTCAGGGAAAGTGCTTGCAAACTGATTGACACCAATTACAGCCAAAAATTCACAGCCAAATTTCTGATCATTCTTATTGAATGGACAGAGTGGAATGTCTGGACATGAAACAGACAAAATTAAAAAAATTATTTGTTAATGGCAAACATCAGAGACTATTAAAATGAATGTACCAGATATTACAACCTCATCAGAGATACACACCATGAGAAAAAAAGAACTACCTGTACCTTTTCCATCCCATCTAAGGCTGAAGAGATGTCACCAAGTTTCCTTTCCAAGTCTCCACAATTTTGGTCAACCTTCTGAATCTCCTTGTACATTTCATCTGTAGAAGGCTCAACACTCTGGCCTAGCACCTGGATATACAAAATTACAGAAATTGCAAGGCTTCTGAAAGTAGTCCTCCTTCATCAGAGATAGAGAAACTCTGAACCATAGAAGCTTTACCATACAGAAGTATCACAATAATGATATATGAGAAATAGACAAAGAAAGCATAAAGAGCTTCAAATGGCAAAAACCAAATAAAAAACCTCTACACAGTGTAAATGGAGTAGGACCTCACACAAAAAGGATTTGCATACTTTAGATAGTTTAGTATATTCTAAGAGACTCACCATAATTTTACTTCCTCTTGTGATACCAAGTTCTTGTAAGGTCTTTGTGAGATCTGAGAGTGACCTGCCTTTAAAGATGATTCTTTGACCTGATGGGGGTATATGTGTTAGCTCTTGGATCCTCACCTGGAGTTCATTCAGGTGATCATCTTGGTGACACAATATGCTGTGTCTGTCTCCCCCTAAATTGAAGTAATAAGATGAAAGAAATTATCAAAATCAACTGGTGATGCATTCCTAGGTCAAAGTTTACATAATCCTTAGCAATGGCAACTGACAGTTGGCATTTTTGCATGTGCATCCAAAAGGTTGAAAAGGTCACTTGCACTTGATCAATATCAGCTAGTACATGCCAGGGGGCTTCGAGTATCTATAACATGCAGACACTCATCAACAATCCTTCAGTGAGAGGAAAAATCAGAAAAGACACCATGGCTCAGTGGTTAAGTATTAACACATTGGCGACAATGCATCCTGATGCCAGGATGCAGATTTTTTTTCAATGAATACCCTCTGGAACTGTTGAGAACATTCCAGAAGATTATGATTTCGTAATTACTGATAAAAATTCCAAAAAATTCAACATTTTAAAAAAACTCGGCAAAAAAAATGTTTTCTGGGACCATGCGTCCTGATAGCAGGACGCATTTTTTGACAAAAAAAATGCGCGTGGTCCCACGCGGCGGACAAGCAAAAATAGGCTGGTCGTCAACGTGTTAATATCTTGCCATCACCTGAATGTGCTGCTGGAGTCTCAATTACCTGAACATACACAACACACTTTCAGGCCATGCAACAATGATAGACTATTATAATATTTGGAAAATATCAATATGAAAAAATTGTGTAGTTTTTTCACCTGCCTTGAAGTTTGGTTCATTAATGCTTCTAAGCTGTCATTGTGGTAGTCCTCAAAATCTTTGTAATTTTTTGCTATTGTAACATTAGGAGCAATCACATCTAAGCTGCTGAAGGATCCATCAGTTCTAGCTGCTCTTACCAACAAACTCTCTGCAAAGGAGAGCATGACTCCATCTGCTTATATTGAGGTAGGTCTTTGTGTATGTCCTTCAGAGATACTCCAATGTAGAGATAATTAGTCTTGGCTGGCATTGTAAGGGAGTAATGGCCTTTTTCCTGATGTGCAATTCAGAGCCTTCCAGCATCTGTGAAGCGGCGCATAAAAGCCCTGAAACGTTTGCAAGCTGATGTGCATCGTGTTGAGACAGAATTCTACAAAAAAGTTCATGACTTGGAGATGGAGTTTATGGAGAAGTACCAACCTTTCTATAACAAGGTGAGGTTTCACTATTACTCATATAAGGATGTATAAAAGAGTTTTCGTCACTCTGGATTTCATTAGTTCTGTTTTCTATAAGTTCCCTAGAAAGAAGCAATGCCCTTCATGTGTATAGAAGTGGGATTCAGTAACTTTGGCTAGTCACATTTATTTTTTATTATTAGCAAGCTACATTTTTGCATATCCCTTCAGGATATGCAAAATCCCCATCATCCAAGCTACAATGCATCCTTCTTGGTGACTTCTCAAATCATTCCTGATACTCAGACTGTGATGTACTCATTAGCTGTGAATTGAAAGCTTCTTTAAAGTTCTGATTGCATTTAAGAGCTATTTCCAGTTTTCAAAGCTATGTATGAGTGTGGAGTTTGTAGTTATTGTCAATAGGAAAACAAAAACATATTGCTTTGAACTTATTTAGCCCTTTGAGGGGTGGGTTTTTTAATGCCTGCAAGATATCCCATAGAAAATATATGGAGAGGATTATGGCATCAACCTGTTAATATATGTGCTTACTCCTCAAAGGGTTAACTTCTCTCACATCCCTGTTTATGTATCCCTCCCTATGTGCTATTGCTTGCTCCAATAAGAAAGCCTATGAGGCCTAAATTGATTTGCGGCCCTCTAGTGTGGTAGTAGTGATTGTGGTTATTGATTTTACTGTAATCTTGACACATCTCCCAAATAATGATCATCAGCAAGAAAGTTGTCGTAAGGGAGTTTAAACACTGGTTTTACTTGGATGGAGAGAAATCTCAGTACAGGGTGGCCAAAATGTAACTTTGCACTTTGAGTTCCTACAGTATGATTTTGTTATGCAATTTATATAATTTTTTATTTTACAGGACTTGCTATTATTTAAAAATCTGAAGTATCATTGAAGGTGTAAAGTAGCCACCCTGTGAAAATTTACTTGCAATGATATAACTACAGTGGAACCTCGCTTAATGAGCATAATTTGTTCCCGAATCTTACTCGTAATGCGAAACACTCGTTAAGCGAATCACTCATTATGGGAGGTGCTCGTTAAGCGAGGTTTGACTGTATATGAATATACAGTCAAACAGAGTGATTCGCTTAACGAGTGTTTCGCATTACGAGTAAGATTCGGGAACAAATTATGCTCGTTAAGCGAGGTTCCACTGTACTTTCACTTATTTTCAGGGATGCTAGAGGTGCAAGATTGATTGGTCATGTTTCAAGACTGGCCAAATAATTTTTATGTAATCTACAGGGTGGGTCACTTAAAAGTAGCCCGCCTCTGGTCCGAGCGTGGCGGAGGTGGTCGCCCCTTGCACACTGTTCTTACTGTCTGCAGTATTATAGGAGGCGGGCTACTTTTAAGTGGCCCACCCTGTATAACTGGATGGCTAATCTTGGCTCATGTCAATATAACCTGCTAATGAAACTTGATATCAGCATATATTTAGTATGGGAGAACTGATTTTATTGTTGCCTAGTCTTGTAGATGATTTTTTATTAAGTATGTCAAGAAGGAGGTATTTATACCATCTGGTACAGGATAGGTTTGGGGTATGCATATTTTAAATGATGGAAGAGGTAAAAAATTAACAAAGAAAAATCATTTTTAAAAGCTGTGGGTTGCTAGTGTTTCCTTAATTGTAATGAGTTTAACATATGGGCTGAAATAGAGCTATTTTCAATAGACAGCATTCTGGGGAATTCGGATGTCAAGATTAGTCTAAAATATGAAATGAGACACTCCCAGAAGTGAACCAAAGCAGAATAGAAAACATTTCAGTCTGAAACCCTGCTGTATAGGATTATCCCAATTGTTTCTTTGATCAGAGGATGGTTATAGTGTCTGGAGCTCATGAACCAACAGAGGAGGAATGTGATTGGCCGTCTGATGAGGAGGACAAGGATGATAAGAAACTGAGCGATGATCTCCAGAATAAGGTCAAGGTTGAAGAAGGAATGGAGGGAGCTGGGTGAGCTTTCTTTGTTTATACAAGTGATCCTGCCTGCATTTTATTGTATATTAAGCATTCACGTTCATTAATTAGCTGTTTCTAATAAAAAAGGCTGTAGTGTCAATTATCAAAGGCTTTTGGCTTTGTAGAGTGGAAAAGAGACCACATCACATGGTGGTTATTTTACTTAAAAGTTTAAATTGTAAGGTACCAGTCAATCATAAATTGGAAATGGCCGCCTATTTAGCAGCTTTCTCCTGAGGTGCAAATTGTGATCTGGAGAGCCAGTTTTCAGTATCTCAGGTGACATAACATAACATGCGAATGTCTCTGCAAAGGTTATGACTGATGCATTGCAGCTATGACACTTACCATGCCAATTCCTTCAAGTGCAGTGCAAAATAATTTACTACATGCTCTCTCTTTTTCATGATTGACGAAGGTACTTCAGTTTCTTTCACTTGAGTTTGCCCCTGAGGTGTAGCTCTTTCCATAAATTGGTGTTGGAATCCCTTGAAAAGGTGCTAATCACTTTAAGTCTTGAGTGACTGAGTTTGTGATTTTAAATCTGTTTAGGCATATATGGCCTGCTAGGGTAATCCATCATGTCACATGTAAGAGAGGCTAGTGTTGATGAATTAGACTCTACCTCACCAAAGCAGGTAATCATTCTAATTCCCATGATCAATCAGTTTTGGACTTTCATTAACTCTGTATATAAAGTCCTTTAGTGACCATTTTGTTCCTAGGACTTGGATTTCAGAAGTGCCTAGTGTTCATTTTGTCCATTTTACCTACATCAGAATTAAAAGTAATGTTTTATTCATTAGAGATGCAACTAAAGCTGGTGGACTTGATGTGAAGGGGATCCCTGATTTCTGGCTCACAGTCTTGAAAAATGTTGACTTGACTGGTGAAATGATACAAGAACATGATGAGCCCATTCTTCGGCACTTGACTGATGTCACCGTCCACTTGGAGAAGGATCCTATGGTATGAAAGACAGTTTGACTGGGAATGGTCTTCTGTTGTAATCTCTAGAGGTATCTTGATATCATAGCTTTCATTTTCCACAGCGATTCATCCTCAAGTTCCACTTTTCTTCAAATGAATTCTTTACCAACTCTGTGCTCGTCAAGGAATATGAAATGACATGTGACGTGAATGAGGAAGAGCCCTTGAGTTATGAGGGTCCTGACATCAAACACTGCAGGGTATGAGTTCATTCATGATGTCATTTATGTCAAAAAAGCTCTTTCCTTTCTTATGAAGGTTTTTTTTAAAGAAACCCAACAAATAAACTTTTCATTTAAATGAATATGCAGGGGTGTAAGATTGACTGGAAGAAGGACAAGAATGTGACTGTGAAAATGGTCAAGAAGAAGCAGAAGCATAAATCTCGTGGCTCTGTTCGTGTTGTCACCAAACAAGTCAAGAATGATTCATTCTTCAACTTCTTTGATCCACCAACAGGTAGAACAAATTTGAAACTTGGAATTTATGTTTGTTCTATTTTCATCTATGATAAAGGCCTTGCACCTGTTTGTAATTTTGATGCTTCATTTCAATTCTGGTATTGTAAACAATTTTAGTTAGTAGTCAGTTTCAAAGTTCAAGATTTTAGTATTATAGTCCATCTGGTCCAACTTTGCAATGCCAACATTGCTTGTTTTATGGTAGCTCATTAATTTAGTGCTGTCATCAGCCTGTCAAAATGTCAGAAAGGGGCTTGAGGCTCTCAGTGTTGGACCTAGGTGTTCCTGACACTAGTCAGGCATCTTATCAAGATTTCTAAAACCATACATATGTGATGCCCCCCCTCCCCTCTGGAGCGTCACACCAGTGTCTGGTGGAGGGGTCAAAGGGAAATCACCCTCTCCCCTAGGGAGAGGAAGATGGATGGCAATTAACGACTCCTTTGAGGATTAAAAGTGTGGCAAAGTTGGACTGTATAGACTATAGTACTGTTTATTTTATTTTTGGTTTCCCATAGTTGAGGATTTTGCAATATTTACTGTTTCAGTAACCAATGAGAAGGACATTGATGAAGACACCCAAGCTCTGTTGGACAGTGACTTTGAGATTGGGCATTTCCTCCGTGAGCGAGTTGTCCCAAAGGCTGTCCTGTATTTCACTGGTGAAGCACTTGAAGAAGAGGAGGATGAGGTCAGTCAATTTAAGTAATTTTCAACATTTTCAAAATGACAGAATACCTATCAGAGCAGCCTAACCCTTTCCTTGGCATTGATTTGTTTTGACACCCAGGAGATGCCAGTGCCTCCTTCAATTATGCCTCAAGGAGATTGGGGATGTAAATTTCTGTCTGTCAGGGAAAGGGTTAACAAACAATTCATGTGGCACTCCATGTGTTCATGCAAGAAATATGAGAATAGTTATAATATTACCATATCAGCAGGTTGGAAGTTGTTCCCCCTGGTCTTATGTATTGTATCAATCAATATCTCAATTTTTTTCCCAATTTCCACATTAGTTTGGCATCAAAAGTAGACTTTTGAATTTTACAAATGTTACCCATTTACCCAAGCACCTTCCACCTCATTGTGGAGTGAGCAAGAGGTAGTGAATGGCTATGAGTTCTCTTCCCTGTCATTTCACTAGAGATGATATAAGAGGGGAGATTCTACTTTTGTAGTAGGAAAAATTACTGATACTACCTGTAGAAGTTACGTCCCTGCATAACCTATGAGTCTTTGATATAATCTGCTGTTGTGACAAGTGGACATGCTGAAATAGAAATTCATTAATCACATTCTTCATGTTTGAGATCATGAGATAAGCCCTACTATCTTGCAGGACTCCCTATTTAAGCTGGTAATTGTCACATAGATTATGCTGATTTTCATGTACTTCCATGTTCTTGTTTTTTAACTGTATCATTTTAGGAATATTACAATATTTGGTTTATTCTTCAGATGGAGGAAGAAGGTGAAGAAGAGGATGATGATGAAGATGATGATAATGTGGTATGTCAGTTCACATATCTTCAAGGTGTATAATTCACAGTGTCTAATTTTGGAAGACTTGCTAAGATGGGATGATTGTTGTCTCTTGGCAACATAATGTTGGATAGCAGCCTTGGCTGGCTTCTTTTTCCTTTGAGAGCCTACTTTTGAGAAAATTAGGAAAATCAGGGCAAAATGATTGAAGGCTTATTCAGATTTTATTTTTTACCTTTTTCCACCTGCCTTGAAGTTTGGTTCATTAATGCTTCTAAGCTGTCATTGTGGTAGTCCTCAAAATCTTTGTAATTTTTTGCTATTGTAANACCCCCCCCCCCCCCCCCCCCCCCCCCAAATTTTGTCTCTGAGTCCCCAAATTTCTCAAAAAAATGGGCAGAAACTAGAAACTCTGCCCTATGGGCAGAAACATGAAAGAAGTTCAAAGGGCCTTTGCACCCAGCCATTCATGATCTTGTTAAGAAGTTTTGGGAGACAGGGTCAGTTCAAGACCAACCAAAACAAAGTCGACCTTCAGGAGAACGAGGAAATGCTCTTTGGAAGAAACTGAGTATTTTCAGCAATTATTAAAGAAATTAATTTTTCTTGTACCTGGGATGGAGAAAAATGAATATTAGTGTTCTGGAATAAAGAATTTAGTCCTCTTTAAAACTATGGAGACATAAAGATTCATTTGGTGATGAGAAAAAAATCGTCATGTAAAGTTACTTTATGGACACCCTGTATATTTTCCCTAGGCTATGGAATAAATGTAACATTTTCAGCTGTTTCTCTGAACTGTTTTGATTGTGACATTAATGTAAAAAAGTAGAATAAGCTTATGCTTTTTACAAGAGCAGTACTTCTTCATAGTGTATGAATGTTGTTTTACATGAGTGCAGAATTTTTGCACATGGTGCATATGTGCAATTCCCACAGTGAAAGTGCTAACTCATTGAATTATATTTGCAATGCCCTGCCCCTTTAAATTAATCTTTTCTCAATTACATGCTTCATGCAGAGGCTCTTCTTTTTAATTTTCTTCTCTTTCCATCTACCTGCTATCCCCGTACATCATGCTGCTAACAAAAACTCTTTTCTTTTTTACCCTATATTAGAGGATATAATGTGTGCTCTCATCTTCACCTGTAATAGTTCTGTTCATGAGTTTGAATATTTCACAGTAAATTTTTTATTGTAATTTCTGTTATTTTCAGGATGATAAGAAGGCAGAACCTCCTTCTGAATGCAAGCAACAGTGAAATGATGTCCAATAGGTGCAAGGGGACTGTTTTCACACCTTTTTGTATTGAAGAAATGAGTGCGTGTGATAGGAAGAAAACTACAGCTCATCGTGAATTCTTCATTTCTGGTGCATGAGATTCCTGTTCCATCTCTCATCTTTTTTTCTCTTCCTTGGTTTTCATTCTGTATTTTAGATAAACTTTTTCTGGCTTTGAAAAATGTTGCACTTCTATTTTTCTAGTGATTGATATCCAAGCATGTGCAAATTGATGCAAAAATGCTATTGAGTTCATCCTATGCTGCAGGTATGGTATGTGACTCATTTTCTGCAGTTCTGGTTTTCCTTTGTGCCTATAGGTAAAATTTGTCTATAGTGGTGTATTTAGCTGTACTTGAATAAATCTCCTTTTGTGCTTTGGCAGCCTATTGAGAGATTTCCCCCACCCCCCTCCTTTTTGGCATTTTTGTCTCTGAAGAAGCAGCTGAAACTGCTTGGGAGAACTTTCCCGAATGTCATGAAATTTGTTGCAACTTTTGAGTTGCCAGCTCCAATGTCTCAGGTATAGTCTATCTGGTCTGAGCTTGCCACACTTTTAATCCTCAAAGGAGTCATTAAAAGCTGTCCATCTTCCTCTCCCCTGAGGGGAGAGGGTGATTTCCCTTTGACCCCTCTGTCAGACACTGGCATGATGCTCCTTGAAGGGGGGGAGAGCATCATGTATGAAAGATTTTATAAATCTTGATGAGATGCCTGACTAATGCCAGGAAACCTAGGTCCACCACTGATAGCCCCTTTCTGACATTTTGACTTGCTGATGTCAGTGGAAAATTAATGAGCTACCATAGAACAGTCAATGCCAGCATTGCAAAGTTGGACCGGATAGACTATAGCGATGATTATTGAAAATACTTAGACCACTCGTCTTATTAAAATACGTTCTGTTTTTGCCATGCAGTTCAGTACCACTACTGGTACAAAGTTTACTTCTTTTTTTTTTTTAAGTACTGGCTTAAAATATGTTATCACTGAAACAGTTGGACATCAGAAGTTGATGTATTTATTCAGAATATTAATTTTTTCCTATTGTAGGAATGAGTCTTTGATGGTGGGTGGTATTGCTGACTATCATTCTATCTCATAATTATGTAATAAAAGATTATTGATGACAAGCCATGAAAAGAAGTCAAGATTTCATGAACTACTTGTTGCTGCAATTGGTGTGAAGGGTAAGAGTCACTATTTTCTATTTCACAGAGAGGTTTAACCCTTTTGGTACTACTGCCATACTTGTACAGCTGGGCATGCATGGTCCCTTCTTTATCTCTCTTCATCAACCCCTACTTCTGTGTATACCACTTCAAGTACAACTTGTACTAAGAATGGCCTGAAGTGAAGCAAATGGTCTCCATGGGCTGCAACAGTGAAACAAACAATAAAATGAACATTCAATTACCTATAGGTTGAAACAAAGCTTCATTGAAGAGAGGCTGGAGTAAAAAATAGGGCGCCCCCCCCCCCCCCCCCCCCCCCCCCAAAAAGAAATTAAATGGGAGGCACAGTTGGTCATGGAAAGCTCTGTAACAAAAGGGTTAATCCCTATTTGTTATTGATTGCACTAAATATATATACATTTTAGAATGGGAAGATATCGAAGACGATTGGTTCCACCAAATACCTGAAGTCTCGGCAAATGACTACTTCAAGAAGTTATTTCCAGATGAGACTAAAAAATGTGAGGCATCTCAGTTGTTTGGGAGTTCAGATGGTCATCTTAGCAGCACTCCAACTCTGAAAGGTAGGGACATTTTCAGGAATTCCATGTTCAACCCCAATAAGGTATGAAATGACTGAATTTGAATGTAATTTTTTTTTCTAAATGTCACAAGAGTGATATTTTGATGACTGATAAACCTGTCTCATGGGCATTGACAGGTTCTTCTGATGCATCCAGAGTTGAAGAGAGTTCACCAGTTCCAGTCTGGTCACCTGGAGACTTCCTTTTCAGTCCATTGACAACTTCAAGAAGGTAAGCACCATGATCTCAAGTATACACTCTTTTCAGGCTAAGTCCTCCATATTATAGTTAAAATCTACTGTAGAAATATTTGTACACAAAATTAATGTGTTCAGTACTTATATTGTAATCATGCAAGCATGATGATGTGAGATTTTGTGTCCCAGTTTCTAGCCAAGCCTTTATAACTGAGTGGCCCGTAAGTTACAAATTTGGAATCTGGTTTTCTTAAGATTGGGGAAAGGATTGGATTTTTCAAGGATTGGAACTGGAGAAGACCTAATATATAGGAGGTGCCCTCCAGCCTCTCTTCAATGAAGCTTTGTTTCAACCTATAGGTAATTGAATGTTCATTTTATTGTTTGTTTCACTGTTGCAGCCCATGGAGACCATTTGCTTCACTTCAGGCCATTCTTAGTACAAGTCACAATTACACATGGACCAGTTCCCTGATAACACCTCCTGGACAACTTCCTTTAAAATCAAAACTTGGCACCTTGTCTGAGAGGTCTCGCTCTCACCCAGTCAGTAAAATGTCATTTTCTTAGTGTCAATGTCTCCCTTTATTTCCTTTAAAAGATGAAGGTATTCATGATTCTTATTTCATTATTTACTTTCAGCAGTATTCAAGAGGCATGAGTCACTGGAAGCAACCACAGTTGAATCACACTCATTCAGTTTCAAGTGACACCACTCCTATTAGCAGATGGGAATGTGAAAGACGAAGTGATATCACCTGTTGTGACTCTGGGTCTCTGCAGAATGTTGCTGATGAAGTGGAGGACTCGCATATGGAAGATTCAGATAGAGTAAAGGGGAAAATCCTCTTCCAAGACAGTAATGGTGACATGAATTATGATGCTATTCCCCTTGAAGTAGGCAGCAAGGTTTCAAATGGAGTTAAAGCAGATGAAATTAGTGCTGATACTATGGAGCAAATTTTCCATGCAGACATTGCCCATCCTAAAGATGCTCACCATACCAATATCTTTGATGAGACTGTGGCTCAGCATAATGCACCTATTTGCTTTCTTTACCCTGCTTCATCCCAGCTCCAGGATATTAGTACTGAAGACAGTGCTAAGTGTTATGATGATGGTCTATTCAACAAAAGTAGTAAAAATGTGACCTCGGCAGAGAATAAGGCCAATGGAGGTGACATAGCTCAAGGAAGAAGCAGCCCTTGGTTTAGTGAGGGTTCCTACCAGACATCAAGATATCCAGGCATCAGGAAATCCTCTACAAGATGTGTTGGTGGTGCAGGAATGCGAAGATCTTTCAAACCACCTCGTTTCACTGAAAAGCCAAAAGAGAAGTCTGAAGGCAGTGTGACTCCCAAGACCTCTAGGGTAAAGGAAGAAAACTCATTTTCCATACGAGATGTTAACTCAGAAGATATGGAGATCCTTGCTCATGTGAATTCAATGGAAGCATCACCTGGAGAAGCAAGGCAAGAAAGAATTAATTTGGAATTGAATACTCAGTTTGGAATCCAATACTCAAAATCCCCTGATGATATGGAAGTCCACCTGGAAAAGATCCTCCATTCAAGGAGGACATCTCACAAACCTTCCTTAGCATCACAAGCACCTCTCAGTCATGTTCTCACAGTTCCTGCAGAGTCATCAAAGCATCTTCCATGTGATGACATTTTAAAGACAGTTCCAACTGAGGGGCCTAATTTCAAAACTGCAGCTGGATCCATCATAAGAATTGATGGTGAGAAACTGAGAGATGCACAGAAGCTCTTCAATGGCATTTTCTCATCTGATCATCTGGAGAAAGAACCAACAGTGAAGGAAAGTGATTATGCTAATTTTGACTCATTTATTGAGAAGCTCCCATCAAATGCTGTGAGCAAGGTAGAAACTGGATTCTCCACAGCTCGAGGAACCCAGATCACCATCTCTAAACAGGCAATGGTGCGAGCTCGCCAAGTCTTAGCTACTGACGTGGAAAGCAAGAAAATGCCATCTATGTTGGACCAAAGTCCTTTGGAGAACTCTCTTGAAGAACAAAGTCCTCATCCTTGCATTGGGTTCTGCACTGCAGCAGGGAAACATCTATCCCTCTCAAATGCTGGACTGAACAGAGCTCATACTCTTCTTCAGGACTTGATGAGAAATCCTGATCTTGATTCAGGTCCTGATGACATTGATTCTGATCTCATTAGTGCTTTAGAAGATCCATGGGACTCTTTTTCAATGGAGACCAAAGCTAAAGAAAATTCCTCAGTTCCAACAGACCAGCAGTTATTGAGGGAGTTTACCACTGTTGCAGGGCAAGTGCCAGACATACCTTCAGCTGCCTTATCTCAGACTTTAAAACTTCTACCAAATCAGATGACATCAGTAGACTACCACCATGATTCATTGAAAAATATGCATGATGCAGGAGTTTCAGACCCAGAGAAAGGAGAGAAGCGGACAAGCAGCACACCTGCTAAGTCAAAACCTTTCAAGAAGCCTAGATTTCTCTGTGTGAAACAGGAAGGAATACCTACAGTCAAGGATTCCTCACCCCTCAAGACATCCAAATCTCAGCAAAATGAGAGTGAGAATGTTGAAATATCAGAAGATGTTGTTCTCACAAGGAAGTCAATTATCTCTCGGAGAACCAGGAGAATATTCAGACCCCCTTTGAAAGGGGAGGGGAAAATTGCTGGGCCTGGCAGCACTCTCAGAATTGATCAACACTGTGAAAGTCTGGAGAAGCAAACTTCCAAGATGCTTAAAGTTCCCAATAATGTTCTGGACAATGGTGTTCCAGGATCAGCAGAGCAACATATGGACTGTGATAGACCTGTCAATCCTCCGCTATCATCAAAGGCTCAAAGTGAAGTGAATATCCCCATTGATTGTGACCCTGAGATTATCATGGAATGGACTGGAGAACGAACAAGTGCCAAAAGTGGTGCTGTGCATGGCAAAACCTCTGAGGAAATAACAGAAGGAAGTGCCACGTCACTTACTCCTGGGAAATCCATGAGACATAGAACTCATAGTTGGGGTGCCAATGATGTGCTGCATCCCTCCATAACTGCAACCAGGGAAGCTGTTGGTGCTAGTAGAAAAGTCCTGGGGGCAGTGAAAGGTAGCAGTTTCTGTAGTGCTAACCCAGGTACAACAGAGAATGCAAGTGGATGTGGGGAATGCTCACCTTTCTCATCAAATGACAGAGGCTTGAATGAGGATTTCAATCAAATATGCCCTTTCACTACTGCTGCTGGAGATGCTGTCACGGTCTCCAGCTCTGCTTTACAGAAAGTGAGAGCCTCGCAAGCTCAGCAGGACAGGAGCAATGAGAACCATGTCAGATGTGCATCAAGTAACTTGCATTCCATTACTGCTGTGAGCAATGTCTGCCTTACAAGATCAGATAGTGAAAATTCTCCAAATTGTATGCAAACAGTTGCTTCTGAAGTTGATTCCAGGACTCAGCTTCCTCTTTTGTTTCTGCAGAGTAGGGCCAAATCCATTGCCTGTGCAAATCATGCAGAAGAGAAAACTGGATTCCCTCTATTTTCAGACAGAAGCAATATTGATGGTGTTCATGTGTGTTCTGCTCAACCAAAAGCATTGGCCTGTGACTGTTCTGGGGGATCTCTGCCAGCTGGGAGTTCAAAAACAAGTATTAGACTCTTGGACAGAAGCATCACCCTACCTGAAGAAGAGGGGGTAGTCAGCACAAGTTCTGAAGCTATTCACTTGGATAGTGGTGAAACTAGCTCCCCACCTTTTATATTTGAGGAGGAGGCATTGTATCAGGCAGCAGAAGATATCAGTGCTGAAGTGATCTATCGCAGAAGAATGATACAAAGACGAGCACCTGTTGTGTTGTGGAGGACGTCTGGGAGGCCTTAATCATGGGAATGCACTGGTAATCCCACAAAATGCATTCTTTTGAGTTCATCCTGCAGTAAATTCCAAAGGGGGAGGGGGGAACTTATTACGGCATGTTCGACGAAACCTGTCAACAGTGCTTTGAAGTTTATTTCCGTTCAAAGTTTTTTTTCGAAGAAGAGCTCCTGAAAAGGGAAATCGAGCAAGAAAAACGCAACAGGTGAGACACCCTTGGCCATTCAGCCTCGTTTCATTTCAGCATTGTCAATATTTAAAAAATAATTCAGAATGATTTAGCCGTCGAATTCCCGCAGTAAATTCCAAAGGGGGGGGGGTGGATGTGTGTTTCTGGAAAGACTGTGGTTCCTCTGAGAGCAGTCTTAGTTGGTGACCCTTGGTCAGTGATTAACCTTATTCATGATAGGCTCATTGTTCATACTGTTCTCATTCATTGTGATCCATCCCCTCTGTGATGTCATTGAGTGAAGATAAAGTGATCATCTCAACATTGAGCAAATGTCCTATCTCTTATGCTGGATTGAATGACTGCAGTTTTTCTTGGCTGAAAATACGGTCTAAGTTCTGACAAAATGTATAGTTTTATTTGCACAGCACAACAAGAACTGAGATTTTGCCAGCAGTTTTCATCAAGATTTTTTTTGTTCTCATGGGACCTTACTCTCGCCAGGCTCTTCAGGTATCTGAGTTGATATCTGCTTTTGTTGCAATCTTGGAAGGATTCTTACTGAAGCAGTTGTCTTCCGAATAGGTGTACTGCTTGTGCTTGCATGTCTCCCCACTCCTTCAGATGGCCTAAAATGAATAATAAGCCTTTAATTTTTGTTTCATTTAAAATTAAAACATCAGCACCATGAAGTATGATAGTGGCTACCAGGGACAGTGGGTGTGACAGCATAACAGGCTGCAATAAGATTGAAAAATTCCTGGGTGTAGGTCAACAATAGTGATTCCCATTAGAGCCTATGTTCCCTGTTATGTTTCTGTTCCCACCTGAATGCTATCCTTCATGGTATCAGCTGATTTTGACTGTGAGCAGTCTAATGTGAGCCATGAAGTGTGCAACTGTGTGAGCAACGATAGATATGTATATTTAAGAAAAAAAGTTTATTGGTTCAAGAGCCAACTCACATATGCAGAGAAGCAACTGAAGAAGCTCTACTGCCCTGTCGGTGAAGTTTTTGTCTCTGGATTGCCCAGTTGGCTTGCAACAGCTCTGCCCTGTAGGCTCTGCGGATTTCATCCATGTGGTAAAATTCCTGGAAAATAATTAATTGGCCTTTTCCTCAATGGTGATTCCTGGAAGAATATATTATTCTGATTGGAATGTGCTGATCTAGAATGGAAGACAAAGCAGCTGAGATGCCATGCAGGGTGACACACATTGTTTAGTCTTCCACCCAGGTAGAATCCAATTACATTGAAAGCTTTCATTTGTGGAAAAGTTGAGTTTGCGGCGATCGCCTGTAAAATTGCACGAGGAGAGCGGTTTAGCCCTTCATATCTTCCGAGCACAACAGTGAGATGCTCGACTAGAAAACCTCTGGTCTTCTGGAGCATGGAGACCAGTGGTTACGAATTGCTGGAGGGCATACAGAATTTTAAGGGCATCTCTCCAAACGCATCATTTATTATGCTTTTCAGGAATGAAAAGCTTTTCATGCCGAAGTTATACCAGTAGGTTTCATTGGTGGGAGGGATTGGACTTAATATGTGCCATTCTGTAAAGCTTGGGCTGACCTGGCTGCGACGATCCAGCTGCCATTCTGCATCCCTCAACTGGCTGTGCAAATTATTCCTCTGCCTCTCCAGTTGGACCTCCAATCTTGCAAGTTCATGCTTTAAAGTAGAATGCACGTCAATAGTTTTCTGGGTACAGTAAAGGACCGGGTCACTGAAAAGGTGGAAGCACTCACCTCAGTAAATCTTTCCATGTCCAGGTTCTTGGCATCCAACACGATACCTGTAAGAGGAGTAGATATCAATTGTCCCATGATAACGTTTTCTCTTATGTTCGTCCAATATCTGTTGGAGCTCGCCATTTGCGATTCAGACTCACCATCAGAAAGGATGGCCTTTTGCCTGGCCAGTTCCTGAGTGAGCCATGATCGTTGTCCCTCCAGTTGTTTGTTCAGTTGACTTTGAGTCTCGCAACGAATTTTCCATTCATTATCACCTTTGCCCAGTTCAGAAAGATCATATATCACTGTTGATTAATGCAATTGGGAAATCACATTAAGGGTTTGCCAACCTTCAGACGCAGATCCTGCTTCCAAGTCGATCAAGCGTCTGTTGAGATCTGCTATGGATTTTTCGAGCTCCGACACGGACCAGGACAGAGTATATCTTGAAATATCAAAGTAACAGCCGTGAGCCTTAAAAAAAAAAAAAAAACTTTGAACGGAAATAAACTTCAAAGCACTGTTGACAGGTTTCGTCGAACATGCCGTAATAAGTTCCCCCCTCCCCCTTTGGAATTTACTGCGGGAATTCGATGGCTAAATCATTCTGAATTATTTTTTAAATATTGACAATGCTGAAATGAAACGAGGCTGAATGGCCAAGGGTGTCTCACCTGTTGCGTTTTTCTTGCTCGATTTCCCTTTTCAGGAGCTCTTCTTCGTCCTCTTCACTCATGATATCTTGATCGTCGTCGTCGTCATCATCGTCTGTGTTATCGACTTTCCTGTCTGAGTCTGGACTCGGCATCTTCCTAGGTGATGTGATGTTCCCTCCACACCTCAATTATGGCTTCTTATCTCATCGATCCAACCAACCCTCACCTGGTAACCGGACGCTTGGTCCATACGCGCTTCATCGTTGCTAGGGGAAGACCTCCTCTGTATTACACTGCCTCGCACCACATAACGGGGAAGTACCTGGAATCTTGAAACACAGCTCGTGTAATTTATGAATAACCGTCATGTCATACGACATTGCATATGGTTTGACCTCTTGGCACGTTCATCTGAACGTCAGAAGCATTTAACTACATTTAATATAATTGCAGAATTCTGTGGACATTCTGAATAATTCCCGAATCAATTAGGTCAATGGTGCCAGTGTGATGCTATATGCATCCAGCGCTGGGCTTTGGCGACAACCTGAACGCATAGGTAGACATCTATTGGCGACTCGGAACAGTAGTCCGCAAAATGGCGGCGTGGGTCTTCGTCGTTGTTCATGAATGATGCCCCGTGAGGGAGCCCTCATTATCACCTGTCTCAGTCGTATCCCGCAGTGCTTAGGGTCTCTTCCGAGATCCTCCTAGGTCAACGTATGGAATCATTCTCCACAGGCCTATTATTATTTTTGCATTTTTGCGCGTATCCGCAGGCTTCAAGTTGCAGGCGCTTCGGATTCGGTCAAGCCAAGATCATAGTTAGGCCTAAGTTAGGTTATCTGAGGGCTGACCAAGCGCGAAGACCTAGGTTTACTGCTAGAAGACGAAATCTTTCATGAACGTATCATATGCCTAATTTGTATTGTTATTAACTCGTGTTGGCTGGAGGGTTTCCTCTAACAGGCGCCGACGTATAATTAACCTCAACGGTAACGCATCATCTTAGGCTCCTGTAGTGCTATGAGTCATACCAAGTTGACAAATGTGCGTCGCCCCCTGCACTCCCTCAGTGACATGTGGGGTTTTATTGGTATCGATGCTTTAAATTAATTTTTGCTCAATCAAATTATTTGCTGATAATTTTAGGCATTTTGATCCTGTAAAGTCAATTGCTTCCAATGGCTTCCAATTTCTATTTGTCTTATGGTATGATGTCTGGCACCTCTGAAGAATATAAGTATCTTAAATTGTGGTGTAATCTTGTTACATACTTGGTTAGCAGATGTACTTTTAGTCATAGTGATCCTTGGTATTCAATTCAAAATAGGGTAATACCCCATTCAAATTTATTTTGGGACCTGGTTGTTTGTTCTCTATTCAGCTTTCCTACTAATTGCTATTCGATTATAAAATACATAACCTTTATGCTCATTCAAAATGACCTTTATGTTCCTTGCTTTTCCTTCCAGAAGTAATTGATACCTTGTCAAGTTATAGACCTTTTCTCTGCAAATTATTCAATTTTTTGAGCATGACAAAACCCTTATGACTACCTTGTGTAGGAGATGTGAGTCTCCAAGAAATGGTGCAGAACTTATTTGCCTTTAGGCTTTGTGCCCCTAATGCTTATAGGATGGAAGGATAGACTGCAATTAGCAAAACCTGGATTTCCTTGAAATACAATTACATTTTGACCTTGTATTATATTTCACTCTAGCCCCCAGGTTTATTGATCTCATCTTTAATGGTTTCTTTGAACCAACTGTTCTGCAAGCCAATAAAAATCACTTATTTAAACTAAGATCTTGTTCTCATCCCAAACTATTTAGTTTGTGCTAGACTGAATTTCTCTTTATGTTACATTGTTCATGTAAAGAGCAGTCTCTTCCTAATTAATTCTGACTGATAGACTTCTTTGTTTCCCCCTTCTCCTTCAAGTATTTTATTTTTGTTATAAAGCTTTTAAGTTATTGTTTGTCTCAAATGCTGATAGGATTTTTCTTCTCATGAGGCATACTTCACTTGTTTCCTTTATTCCTATGGCCATCCTTGTTCCATTTTTTCTTTGCTTGTCCCTGTCAATCTGTTGAAGGCTTTTAGCCACCTTTAATGCATTTCCCCCTATCTTTTTTGCAAATAAATTCAACCAATCATTGTAAACCTCAACTAGGGGTGTCAAAAGTTTTGGAGTGTCAAGGTACATTGTGAACCAGAAGAATTATGCGAGTTATATAGTAAAATATATGTATGTATTTAAAATTTTAAAACTGTAAATGAGGAAATACAATAAGGAGTGAACATTTAGGGTACCATCAATCCTACATGTATTTTATTTGCCTGAAAGCAAAATGTAATGCAACAGATTGGCCTTCCAGGCCTAATTTGGACACCCCTAACTTAGACCTGTTCTGCTTACAGTTAACGAAAGGCGTCTGGTTAACTGAGCGTGAGTAGAGTCACCTGGAATCTCAATTGGGATTCCTATTATATATAATAGGAATCTCAATTGATTGGGATTCCTATTATATATAATATACACCACACCCACCCCCCTAACCTACCCTGGCCTAACTTAGGTAAAACACAATATCCCTAGGGGGTACAGTCACCTGGGCAACCCTATGCACTGCGTACGGTTAATTGTGTCCGATGGGCAACTGTAAGCAGAATAGATCTACCAACAATCTAACATATGCTTGACATTCAGCTGAGGACTATTGCAAAGTTCAGGTGTTTTGCATAGGCTGGACTATCTTGTATGTTTTTGTAGGCCCACTGATATCCAAAAATGTAAGATAGCTTCAGGGAGATTCAGAAATATATATTATCATCCTTTGACCAGTATGGTGGGTAGATCATTGGCACTTGACAGATGACACTTGTGTAGTAGGAAGATAAGTCACTGACGCCTAAAAGGTCACACTGGAGAAATGCAGGAAGATTATGAATGTAAAATCACATGATGTTTTTCATTCCCAATTGGAGCTCTCATGTACAAAGGCTCATCCCTTACTCTTGATTCTGCACCTCACACAGCTGGTTATATGCTCTGTTGGCAGGCTCACACACACAAACACAACTGGTGTAGTCCAGTGATAATGCATGGTCTCGCTGAGCACATGGCTTTTCAGGCCTCATCCAACAGTCAGAAAGTTCATGGTAAGCATAAGAAGTCAGTAAGACATTGACTTGAAGATCATTTATGGAAATAAAATCCTGGAGATAATGAACCAGAAACGTTCATTCAAAAATTGTCTTTCACTAACCGCACCAAGGGTTGAGGTGACTTCCACTTCTGGATTTGAAAGACCCAGCTCTTCAGAACCAACTTAGGAAGCAAGGAAACAAATTTGTCTTATCTAAATTGGTTCAAATGAGTGAGGGATAGCCAGAGAAATATGTAGAACATGATCTGAGCCAGTCAGAAATGCAGTCAGAAACATTGATCTTTCATTGATCAGGGTATTTGTGTGTAACTGGGTAGTTTGATCAGAATGGTGCAATCCCTTGTTCTTCAACCTGGACCAATTAGTCCTGGCAGTGGTGCAGTGATAAAAACCCCAACCTCAGATTCACTTCAGTAATTAATGCATCAATTGCTCTGTCAGTCAATGTAACTGACAGTATGATGAAGAATGAAGAGTCACAGCTTGGCAGTCTATGTATTGAGTAATGCCTTGCATGTTTTGCAAAGTACATAGCAAGCATCAAATATAAATCTTGTTTCAGAGGTTATCAACTGTTTGAATAGGTAGAAACAGAGACTTGAAGATTGAATTTAAGGAACAGTACACATTTGTCCCAGTATGAAATTTTTGGTACTGCACATGGATGAAAAACAAAATTAACACCTTTTCTAACAATCTAGTTTTACTGCTTTGATTTTGGTGAGAACTAGAAGCTTCTAAGGTGCCTTCCACCCTTCAACTTTCAACCCCCATAGGCCTTGCTGGGGCCCAACATGGCCATCAGAGCCTAGCTCTTTCCTGCTGAATTGGGAAGAAAAAGCCTGGTTTCTGGAAAACTAAAGATCTCTCTTTCCAACTCTTAGAAAATGTCTCTTCTTTTCTTGTCTCTTTCTTCTGTTGAAATTGACCCACATTTTCTGAAAGGAATGTAGAGTAGGCCTAGTGCTAGGTCTTGGACTAACTGCTTCATTTTCCAGGGGTATCTGATATTGTCAGGAAATGTTTAGCCTTTGGAATTATATACATTCTCAGCTTTAACATCAGAACCAAACTTTGTTTTTGTATTGAGCAATTATCATAGGCCCATTCTGAGCTTTCTAATATTCACAGGTGGGAAGAGCAATGGGAGTAGCTTTACAACCTAGGCCTTGGCCTAGACAAGTGATCAGGGAACAAAATAAGAGTGATTACCTCTGAGAAAGGACATAATGGCACAAAGCGCCTGCACAAACATGGGAGACTTGCTTCCCCCTCGGAGGCAGATGGTAGTGGAAAGACTGAAGAGACGAATGGAATGTTACAGAGGTCGGCAGCTACATTGCCTGAAGAGGGATCAAGTGGCATCAAGGACACTGCTGGATCAGAACCAGCAACAAACACAAGTTCTACGACAGCGTTTTCTGGAACAAAAGGCAAAGAAATGTGTCAAGAAATCAAATTCTGATGTCAAGAAGAATGTGGATGCTGTCAACAGTACTTTCATTGTGAGTTTTTAAAATTTTTTAACCCATTTTCCTTATGTTCAAAGGAGTTTTCAATTTGGAGTTCTTGGTAGCATGGTGGCTTCAGGAAGACTCACTGATTTCAAAGCATACAATTTCCTCCATGTATTTAGTGTTGACCTGTCTTTAAACAGGAATTTAAAAAACTGGTGGTTAAGTCCTATTTAGCAAACATTATAGTCTATAGACTATTTGTCTGCTCTTCTAAGATTTGTGTCCATGGTTGTTTAATCTAAATTTTTAAATGTATTGCTCATATTTAACACAATCTCATTTTTCAACAGTCTCTTGCATCAGTGATTGCACTTTTGGGAGGCAGCATTAAATTTTTAGTAGAGAGTACAATCACCATACCCTCAAATTAGACCACACTGAAAAATTGCTAAACCCAAAGCTGCCTGATTATAAAAATATTTGCTCATGTAAGTGATCCTTATGGCTTGTGAACTGATAGAGTCCCTGGGGAAGTATTGACACACTGTTCACACCACATATAACCGTCATTTTGGTAGAATGTCTACTTCTTCCTATCCATGTAGAGCCATGAAGCAGATTGACAGCCTTTTTGTATTTCTGCAGGATGTCTGATAAGTCCCACAACCCATGGCAATAACACATTTATTTTAGGGCTGCACAACTAATGGATTCTGAGTTAAAAACTTTTTGACAGGTGTTCAAAGTGTGCACCTCTACTTCTACTGTCTATGCACAATTGAGCTCTGTGAACAATGTTTTGAACCACTTTTCCCAGTATTTCTGAAGAGGTCCCCTGGAGATCATCTTCAAGAGCAGATTCAAGATTTGCTCATGAAATACTGCTTAATTCAAACACATTGTCTTGTTCATCATTGCAAATCGAGAACCATTCCCAGAAATGCAAATATCTTTTGGTCTAATTTAATTTTGGTCTATGGGATTGAGTTCTTGAACAGACATTGTTTGTGTGGTGAGCTTCAGTGAATATGAGGAGTTTCATGTGCAGAGCTTTTTCTGATGCCACTTTGTGAAGAAAGGCACTAATAGATTTTGAAGGGCTTACAATCATTGAAGCACTCATATCCAAAAGTTCATCTACAGTTAACACAGTTGGTCATGCACATTGACAGTTCTTATTGGGTTGCAGAACTTTATGGATACCCTGTATATGAAACTGAGCTATTTTGCATCATGGCAGAAGCAAAGAAATGATTATCAATTATTGAAAATGCAAACTATTTGTAGGTGAAAATGGAAAATACAGAATAGTTGAGGGAAATATAAAGTAAAAATTAAGCATAATTAGTTTCTTTAAACCAAGAAGAGTGCATTCAAGCACCTAACACATCTTTTTTTTAACTATAACATGTTCATTAGGATGAAGGCTTCTGTTCATAGACAGGTTCCTATTTATGGATGATTTCATATTTTCTGTTGCCCTAAAAAAGCCTACACCTGAAATTCATATCTGACTGATATTGTCTAACTAGCATGGACAAAATACCAAGCAGTCAAGGATATGCATTTCTGGTTAAAGTTTTTTTTTTAGGACAATAGAAAAAGTGAAATCATACACAGATAGGCAACCATCTATGAACTATTGCTACTACTCCGTAGGCATCAATATAATTATAGATATATCTTGAGTTTTACATGTTTTCAATGGACCTCACTTTAGGAATGGTACTAGAATAAATGGATGGGGAGACCAGTAGGCCTTGAATCATGATGAGACAAATTCATTATATTCCTATTGCATTTCTTGACAACTTATTGGCCTACAGATATGGTATTTTCAGTTAATTTCATTTTTCTATTTTACTCATAACTAATTCAGGCTTGTCTTCTATCATCTTACCTCTTACTGATAAATTAATCAATTAAAACTTAAACATAACACTTTAGACTTGTCAGTCATAGGTAAATATGTCAAATGTCTGGGAAACCCATAATAGGAGCACTATGCTATTTTTAAGTGAATCCACTCTTCATTGATTAGTCATGGGTCCTCTTGCAATAGAAAATCTGCCATGCCATCCTACATTTTTTTAAATAGCTTCTCAGGAGCCTATACTAGACCAGCATCTGTAACAGTAAGCTGAGCATCATATATCATAATCCATGATTAACTGAACCTGTCTCACATACTTGATCATATTTTATGTTAATTTGAGCCTGGAACTCATTCAAGTCTAGTTTTTTCCCCCTTTTATCCTTGTACCAAGTTTACTTGAACTGATTTAACTGCAATTTAAAATGGTTGGTTTGTTTTAAATTAAGTTCATAAAGCCATTGTATGTAACCAATTTATTTTTATTTTTTTTTAACAGGCTTCTGTTTGTTGAAGAGGAACTGAAACTGGATGAAATTACAATTTTTTTTATTTTTGAGGATCAGTATCTATCTGTTAACCATATGGAATTCATTGATATTTGCACTCACAATCTTGTCTGTTGGTAGAGATATCCTAGGGATTCAGAATTTTCACTTATAGACATTTGTTGAACCAGTCATATATTATGAGGGGATTAAGGGGGGGGGGGGGGTCTGTTGCCCTGGTCCCCACTTTTCCAAGGTGGGCCCTGAAGGAAATTAGAAACCTTGAGTATTTGTGTTTAGTAGCAGATTTTACAAATCTAAACTTGCACCACCAGTGCTCGATGTGTGGCTCCTCCTCTTGGCCACTTGCACCACCAGGGAGGGCAGAATCCACTTGCCCCTGGTCTCAACTCCTTAATCTGGCCCATCTCCAAAGTTCCAGATGCTCACAAAGGAAAATATGATATCAGTTTGCTAACTTTTAATATCCTCTCATAACTTTCTCTGGTGTCTTCTATGCAAAGAATTGGAAAAAAATATTTCTTTGTTTTTTCCTTTCTTTAGAAACCACCCCATCCTGAAGATGCAGCAACAATTGAAAGAAGTACTAGTACCAATAATATTACTGGCAGCGACATGGAGTTGGAACCTGTTGGTGTCCCTGAGTCTTACAAGACTGAACAAGTGGAATCAGGGCATCTTGAAAAGGTGAAAATGGAGGAACCTCTATTGAAGCCCAAGGAGGAACAGAAATCTGAAGGGGGAGGGACCCCAAGGAGTGATGAGCAATCTCCAAGGAATGTATCCAGTCAAGATCAAAGTTCTAATGCTACTTCAGCATCTGAGTATTCCAAAGTTGGCCCACCTGCAAAGCAATGCAAAGAGGAGCCACTTTCTGATACAAGTCCTTTCCCTGAAAATTTAGGCAATCTCCTTAGTGATGATTCTGGTGATGAGGAGGCTTTCAAGGAATTTATACTTGGCTTCCCGAATCTCCACAATGATCTCGACTTGAACCAAATTGGGAGCTCTGACTTGGAAAAATTCATGAAGGATTTCCCCTGCTTATATAGTGATATTGGTACTGATATAAGCAAGCACTCTATGAGCAGTGGCAGTGACTCCAAGAATGAAATACAGTCACAACAGTCAGCAAGGGAAAATGCTGGAAATTCTGCAATATCAACATCTAATGTCATGTCAACATCTAGCCATGAGACCAGAGCAGGTGCATCACCCTTAACTAGTTCAGTCAGAAGCACGCCTGATACTCAGGCTGTCACTGGTTCAAATGGAACAGGCTGCACCTTTACCTCAGGGAATTCAAGTGGTGCTCTCACCACAGGAAATGTAAGCTACCCTTCTCTGAGTTCAGGCTCACAACAAAGCTATGGTGGAATGCGACCAGAGATCTCAGCACCTTCATCTGGATTGGCTGCCCAGACATTGAAAGAAATGGCAAAACATCATCAGCAGTTGAGCAGCCAAGTAATGACTCCCATTGCCTCAACCCTTCCAAGTTTCTCTGGTGACATGCATTCTGGTGCCATTGTCAGTAATCAGAGGCCTAATGGGAGTTCAGAAGTGGAACACTTTTCATCTCCACAATCTCAGTTCATGCGATTCCCAGGTGCCACTCCAGCCAGTGTTTCTAATGCCAATGTATATGTGCCAAATAGTTTCCAGAGTATGAGAGGTGTTCAAGTACCAAACTTGCATGAAGCACCTAGAGTACCAGCACCTAGATATCCAAGTCCAAGAGGGCCTCCACCACGAAGCATGAGTCCCTCCCAGTTCTCTCGATCTGAAAGTTCCCCTGGTACATCTGGCAATTCCAAGAATGCTGAGGGAGGGCCTCAATTCTCTCCTGTAAATCCCGGTGCCATCAGCAACTCCATATGTGTTTCCAATTCTCGTATGCCCACACCAGAGATTCCTCCAAATGCTTACAACAAATTCCCAAACCAGGCAAGTCTTGAAACATCCATGAGCATTACCAGTGGGGGTGCTTCTAAGGCAAGGCCCTCAGAAATATCAAGGTGTTCAAGGTTCGGAAAAGGTTTTTATTATGTTTGTGTTTTGAATCATTGTCATGGTTATGTAGAATGTCTCTGGTAATTGGACTTTTCAGGAAGCTGCTTACATATAATGCATGCCTGCTATGAGGAAGGGCTGGAAAATTCCTCAAATTATATTACATTTACAACTTAATTACTGACTCTTTCTCAATATCCACCTTTTCAGCATTATCACCCTTAACCAATACACGTTTCATCCCTTGCTCCATTGGTTTTTTAATTCCAGCAGCAAACCATTCTTCAGTAGACACATTCATCCACTGGTTTATGGCTGATGCAAGGTCAGTCCTAGAGCCAAATATCTTCTTGCTAGAAATTTGTCATTTCTGAGAAGAGAATTACAAGATATAGTCCATTATGACATAATGGACAATGTCTGAACCATGAGGTTGGTGGTGTAGAACTCCCAGTCAAGATCATTAATTGCTCAGGTGATGACATGAGTAAAATAACGGTGGGCTTGCCCTGCTGCTGCATTCCTCCTTGAATGAGGACTCTTCTTTTTTTTTATTATGGCTAATTGTTGGTACCTACTGCATTGCATTTCTGAAGGGTAAGGTGAAGTCAGCCATAATGAAAACAGGGGTGGCCTCTCATCCAGCACTGTAATGCTGCTGCAGGGCAATCTCATCCTCATCACCCATAGCACTACCTGGGCCATCCACAACCTTGGCTGAGAATTCTAGGCTACCCACTTTGTAATCAGACACTGTCCCATCTATCACCTTCTAACTCAAAATTTAAATTTCTTGATTGGAAAGGGATATGTTCTGGTCAATTACCACCTTGCATCATCCACAAGCCAGGGTGAAAGTTACTCCTGGTGAATGGTTTGCTGTTGGAATTAAAAAATTAATGATGCAAGAAGTGTGTATTGGTCAAGTGTAATTGTGCTGCAGAGGTAGAAGTTTGGTAAAAGTTGGCTTAGTTGTACATGTGATATTTTACAAGGATTGTGAGTTTTTCAAACCCTTTTATTTTCCTGGCCAGAAGCATCCCCATGCCTTTTATCTAGCAATGCTTATGCCAACATTGGGGCCTATTGTTAAACTCAGAGTCAGACCTGAACCTTTTAGAGCTCCTAATGAGCTCTAAATCACCCTGAGTAGCATGGCAGCTCTCATGTGTGCTATTTTTACATGCCTACTGTAAGTGACATGTGAGCAGGTACATGTGTGAGTGGTGTGTAAGGTGATGTTTCAAGCTACTTGGAGAATGTAGAAAGCCATGATTCTGTGTGAGCTTTTTGTTGAAGAGGTTCAGAATCTGCTGCCAGCATGGACTAAGTTTCACGTGCCCCTGATCTCACTTTTATTAAATGGGTGTGCTTGCATTTGTTCTGCGTATGCTGACATATGTTAGTTCTTCTGTAGATTCCATCTGCCATGGGGAACTGTGTGCCAAGACAGTATGGTCCAATGGGGCCTGTGATGAACAACTCAAATGTGAGAGGCTATATGCAGCCAGACCAATCCCAAGCCACTATGCAAATGCAGTATCGTCACCCACAAGGTGGAATGGTGATGAACATGTATCAGCAGCAGAATCAAGCCATGATGGTTCGAAGAGGAGGACCATATCGCATGCAGCAGCAACAGGTGACTCACCAGTATCAAGTCTACCGAGCATCACGAATGATGCCATCTCGGGAGGGTCCAATGGGGCAACCTGGCTACCCAGGACTGAACATGCCCATGATGGGATCATGCTCAATTGGTCCTGGGCAAAATCATGGCTGGAATCAAATGCAGCCACCCATGATGATGCCTTCAATTCAAGGAATGAATCAAAACAGTGAGGAATCTTCATGCTCTAATGTCCTGTCAGTTTCAGTCCCTCTTAACTGAATTCATGGTGGTTTTGATTTAGGTGCCTATTATGCAGCTGGTGGAATGATGATGGCCAAACAGGAACAAACTTTAGGGGAAGGAAAGAATATAATTGTCCAGAATGCTGCAGGAGGTATCAGCATTCATCAGGTGAACAGTGGCATGGTGGGAAATAAAATTGCAACCACTTTATGCACTCCCCCTGTTGATCAGGTGAGTTTCTGAAAATGCATTGTATTCCTTGATTTTTACCCTTTCAGACCTGTGTCCATTCCAATGGACATTGCATTTTCATTGTTTCACTGGTATTTTCTTGGGATTCTCGTGACTTTGCGCCCTATATTACACTACATTGGAATAAATTATGCATTGCTCAATTCCATCAGAGGCCTTCTCTCACCCATCAATTTTGTAATCTTCAATTATGTAATTACATTTATAATATATGGCGTGATATGGTAAATTTATACAGAGTATAAAAATGAAATATAGAGCATAAACATTTAAATTAGAATAGGAAAAGAGCTCAAAAATGGAAAAAAGTATATTATTCTGAAAGTGGCCTTAATTCAAGTCTGAAAGGATTAAGTTTACTTTATTGACACAACTATTACCAGGCCCTAGATTCCACGAAAGCCTTTCCAAGTTACCTCATCTCTCATGAGTCTCTGAAATCAGATTTCAATTGGCAATTCTACTTTTTTTTTGCATCTATTCAGCTTTTCAGTTACTGTTCAAGATTATATCTTGAGTAGATAGTCAAGGTATGACAAATTAAGACCCCCTCCAGGTTTGAACCCTCTTGAACTATTTTATTTTTTTAAACAAAACTTACAGTATAGCTAGGCAGGAAAATTTCAAACAGATTTGTAACAATTTAAGCCAGATTTTAGTTTAAAGGAATGGGATATTGAAAGTGGATCATAGTTTCAGCCCTGTAAGAATGATCATACTGTATGAATGTCACCACCTCATAAATATGAAAAACTTGAAGCAAGTGCTCTTTGTAGATACATAACTCTATCTTTAACCAGAAGAAAACAAAATCCATATTGAACAAAATTCAAGCAAAATATTAAATCTTAGTGAAAGAGATATTTTGTGTGGCCTTCACACAATGTCTCCACAATGCATAGGTTTTCCCTCTAAATTTCTAGTGCTTGTTCTTGTCCATTATCATTTCCCCATTTCTTTTGAATAGGCACTCTTTCCCTTGCATTCACAGGACGAATTTTTTAATTAAATTAAAAAAAAAAAGAAATTTGTCATTTGTTGATTATCTGAAAAAGGGCAACACTTAGGTTTTGGCACTTTCTAAAAGAACAGGAATACCTTAGTTTCTCATATAGAAGAATGGTTTTTGAAGCATGTTTGCTCTTTAACAAGTGATCTGAGAATCTCAGCATCCTGGTACTAAGTCAAACATTACTTAGTTTTCATTCAACAGTCCAAAGAAAGGATGAATTTGTATTATGAAAATGTTTTAAATTGTAGGTTTGTCATTTTTTAATATTGACAATACCATCCTATCCTCTATGCAATGTTAGTAAAATTAGCTGTAGGGAATCACAGTGAGAGAAGTACAGAATTAATGTTTAGTATTTGTTTTAACAGGTTGCATCATCCCAGTCAACCATGGCAGGGTCCAGACTGATGGGAAGAGTAACAGGGAGCCATCAAGGACAGCCACCAAATCCCTTGTCAGCTGAGAGTCAAATGATGCCTGGGAATCTGTCTGGTTCGCACCAAACTCTTATGACTTCAGCTTCCCAAGCAAGCCAAATGTCATCCTTGCCACATGTGAACCAAATGTCACATGGGAATATGCGTGGTCCACAACAGAGTTCAATCACTCAGCAGTCTCCCAGTGGCACAGAGTCTCAATCTAAACCTGACTCATTATACCAAACAGACATATGCCGGGAATTTAACTTTGACTTCCTGGATAGTAGTGGAATGTTCTCCAATCAGCAATCTCTCTCATCCTCTGAGCAAGAATTCCTGAAAACCTTGGACTCAATGGTTACTGATGCCATGGAGGGATTTACGTGATGCATGGCATGGTTTGGTCCATCCATCCATCCATCCATCCATCCATCTATCTCCTGAAATGCTTTATAATTATACCAGAGAATCAAAGAAATTTTGCAGATTCAGAAATTTTGCTGAACAACTGTATTATGCATGCAGTGCCTTTATCTTTACTACTGTCAGTTCCCTGCCTGGGCAAACAGTACCTGATCAAAAATTGCATCCAGTCCAGTTTGAGTCCTCCTTGGGTCATTCCATGTTACTATACTCTCCTGCCATTCCCAAATTGACATAACATGTGCATCTCCTCTATGCATACATGTGTTCATCAGAGATAATGTAAGCTTTCTCTGTTCATTTTAATAAGCCATTCATGTATCTCCATCATGAAATGCCACATTGCATTGGAGAATCTTCATTGGCTTCTCATTGCACACTTGGCTTTAGCTGGACTTGAGCTATGAGCAGCTCTTTTATATTTTACAATAGGTATATAGGAGGCAGTATATGTACTTGTGATTCCAGAGTGCTCTCCATAGGAAGGCCTCGTACATATTTAATTATTCTGCTCTCTAAAGTATGTCCTATGTCTATTGTTGTAGGTCCTAGCTGTTCATCTTCTGTGGTATTGCTAGCATGTTTTTCTATGCAACAAAGGAAGAGGCAGTACTCTCCTATTCAATGTGCCAATGTGGAAAGCCATCTGAATGATCTTCCATGTCATGAACATGCATCATCTTGATGTTTGCTTTACTGAATGGATTCATGACTCAGCCTTGTGATTCCAGAAATTGACAGTTTGCCATGTTGAAATTTACTACCCATAATCCTGATATTTGGATGTGTATGTGATCAAGAACAAACAAAAAAGAAACCAGTATCATTGGAGGCTTCTGGAAAGACTCTTCATGTGTTTTCATACAACTTGGTGTCTGCTTTTCTTAATATTCATTCAATGCAGTCGATAGAACTCAAGGATCTAAAGATTTTCATGTCATTGCAAACACTGAAGAGAGTCCAGTTACCAAAGGTATTCATTCCTCAACATGAATCTTGGGGGCACATTAGCCTGCCAAAATTAAAGATGGTCAAAGCCACTGTAAAATGAATCACTATGTACAATTTGAGAGTATTTTTATATTGATGTTCTTTCTTTTTTGTTGCATCAATTTTGTATCCATTATCATATCAATAAGAGGTGCAAATAAAAGCAATTGTGACATGACTACTGGCTTATGTTGGAATTCCAGGTTCACCCATGTTCCCTTCAGGAATAGAATGCTCCAAGATTCCAGGCTCTTCTTGAGTCAGAATGGATGTTGCAGCACATTCAAATCTGAAAAAGCAATAAGCTGTTGTCATTCCATTATATAGTGCCATATTTACTAAAGTAAAAGTATTTTTTATGCATATTTTATTGCAATTGAGAGTGTGTCTCATAGGGTAAGCACCCCGGTTTCTGGCTGGCCGTTTTCAAGCATTGTATCAACATATTCCCATACAAGGACATAATACTAGTGTTTCCTGGTGTGCACACAGGGTGTCCACTTCCTATGGGAGTTGTATCAGCATGTCCAAAAACTGGGGTGTTGACCCTACTTGGGAAAAAAAATGTTGGTGTACCTAGAGGTCAGACACTGTCTCCACCTCAATAGATGGAGACAGTGTCTGTTTTCAGTCAGAACAAGAGAAGTATAATTTAAAAAAATTTAATATTAAACTGGGGGAATGGCTACAACAAATTGTACAGACTTCATTTAGCATTAGAATTGGAATCTTAAGATGTCTGGCAGCATGGAAAAAGCATTTGGGGAGCCTTTCCAGGGACAATCATTTCACTTTGGAAATTTTTAAGCCTTTGAGGTTTTTGACAAAGAGAAAATCCAGTTTGCTTCATGAATTGCGCTGTTAATCTTAGTGAACTTTTGATGGGAGTTCCCATTTGCACTTGCAATTTTACAGGTTTGCATCTAAATCACCTCTAGTTTTACACATAGACCATCCTTACAAGACTAAAAATTGACTGTCAGAATGAAGTGAATTGTTCATTCTGAGTCAACTGTATGCTTCATCAAGGATTTTATTACATTAATGCAGACTTACTCTTTTACATATTCAGCCACTTCCTTCTTGATTACTGGAAATTATCCCACTTTCCAAAAGGTCATGAGACTCGTTAGCACCCAGTTCAATTTTTGCCTTGATCTGCTTCTGGATACAGCTTTCCCTGATGTCGTATGTATGACCTATTGCATGGATGCCAAACTTCTTTGTTTCCTGAATCAATTTGATTTCTCTCCTGCCATGTAACTTCAGCATACATTTCCATCCATTTTCATGGATAATGAAACAAATGTTAGAGAGACTGCTCCCTGTCATTAAAGATGAGGACAGTGAATGAGAAACTACATTTGACTGACTTTACCCCTCATCTCCCTTATCCCTGACACTTTCCACTTCAAAGTAGGGGGGTGCATCTTATACACAGTGGCATACCATACTCGAGTAAATATGGTATATCCATTCAGACTTTAGGTTGATAAGGATAGGCTAAGGGATCATTCAATCATGTCAGATGGCAAGCACAATGCAAGGTCATGCTTGTAGCCAAATGGTCATTGGTCAGTGTGGAGGAATCCTGTACAACACCTGGGAATTCTCATGATTGATAAGTGTTTACCTGGATGCCATAGCTACTCAAGCTTGAGAATGAAGTTATTCAATTGTTAAACAATTAAAGTGCTTCATCAGACTTAACTCATCTGATTTTTGTTTCATGGGTGATATTTGCAGAATGTGCTCATGGTCATAAAAAAAATTCATTGAGATTCTTCACAGAGGCATTCCTCTGGAAAGTTTTTTACAATAATGCAAAGTGAATATTTATCAAAGATATTTGAAAATGTTAGTTTTAAAACCCTTGCTTTGCAAAAAAAACAAATGTAAAATTCCTACAAATTGTGAAATGAGTATGGAAAATTTCTTACAACAGGTTGTCAACAGTGTCCAACCAGTTCAGTGCACTATTCAGATAATGTTAAGTTTTGCAATGAATTAACACATGATTAGAGAGGGACAATGCCAAACTGATAATAGTCCCAAAGGACAAGATAGGCTTCCATTATTTCTTTAAAAACTCTTGTTAATTAAAACATGACAAATCAATATTTTTATGAGCAACTCTGCACGATGATCTGAAATGGGGGGGGGGGGTGGTTCCATGGAAATTCATTCACCATGAAATGCTGATAAAGTCTCTAAGATGTTTTTGTTTTAACCAATCTATTTTGCCTTACATGGTACAAATGTTATTTGTACCATGTAAGGCCATTTGTTATTTGTACCATGGTTTTTTTATGCAAGACACACAGGTGAAGCTTGGAGATTATCTCACTATGCATTCCAACTATGTGTAAGTCAAATATGAAGCTCATGCAAAAATGTCACATCCTTGAGATATCAGCCATTACATCATCAACCTTTAATGTTGGATTTCACTGTGTAAAATTGGACAAGAGACATTTAATTCATGGAACAAATATTTATGCATGAAACTTGCTTCATTGCTCCTGCAGTAATCTTGTGAAGGAAAGGGTGCCCTTGGATGAATGTAATTGATGTCCCCCCCTCAAAAGGGAAAAGAAGTCTAGAGATAACAGTTTGAGGTTTGAGCAGATACATTATATACTCTCAATGAATCATTGGTGGAGATGCAATTTTAGACTTAAAAAAGGTACTGACAAAGAGTCCTATTGCTGACCTGTCCTCATTCTTTGGGTTTTCATGCAAAGATATATTTCCTTGTTCCAAATTCTGTAGCACTTGAAGTCCAGTTTCCATTTGGAGACTCCCTTCTCCAAAAGGAACATCACTAAGTAGTCCTGAAGGAACTTCTGGAAACTGTATCTCTGGGAACTCCTCCTCTGTACCAGCAATACTACATTAAAAGCAGGCAACTACTGGCATCTTATCAGAAGAATCACACATTAAAAGGCATAAATGCTGATGAAGTCTCACGAAGTGTTAGTGTCTATCGTCAGGGATGTCTTTGGTGGTGGGGCACCAGTGAGATCCATGTACTGATTCCACAAGTCTTTGGCCTTGTTGATGCAGTTCCTGTGATATTTCACAACTCTATCTATATAGAACATCTGGAGATTTTTCATGCTCCCCATTCCCATTTCATACATGACTCTCTCCAAGGGTTCCTGTGAGTAGAAATGTATGCTGAATGCAGGTATATGCAATCTGACAATTATAGAGCAACAGGATACTTAAGCATACAGGGAACCCAGCTGAGAGACTCATCAATTCTCGATCGGTTGAAAGACGCAGAAGCCTGGTGAACTTTGAGAGATAATCATGAGCCACATCTGTCATCAAATCCAATATAGACTCAGGAGACTCTAGAGGATACAAATAAGTGAAGTGCAATAATAAAGACAAGGAGTAATAGCCAGATGTGATAGAAGTTTGCAATTGGCAATTAGGAATTTATGATTAAGTCACCTTGTTTGAAATTTAATCTTTCCCAAATTTAAACTTAAAGGAAAAAATGGGGAGGTGAGCTACTTGTACTACTGAGCTACTCAATGGAAGCTGTTAATAGTTACATTATTTTAGTGCATTTTGGGCTAATCTCATGAGTTTTCATATCAACTTAAATGCTAACAACATTGCATTGCTTGTCAAGTACAAATCCCATGTGAATTGAACTAATTGTATTGTTCAGACATTTGCATTAAGTCCTGAGACAACTAATTGTTTAATACGCTGGCCCATAGTGGTTAACTAGTCACTGAATTGAAATCCTATTTTGAAAAAACAATATCTGCAACATTGCTTACAATTAAAGAGGAACAAAATCATCTAGATCTACAATTTCACCTTCATATCCCAAATGGGCCATGATGGTTGCAACAGACTTGCGAAGAATCTGTCTAGCAACTGCTGGAGTAAGTTCCGGAGGAGGTTTCCAACACTTTCCCTTTTCTTCTGCTTCCATCATGCCTTGGAAACTCGAGGGCAAAATACTATTGGGGATGAATGACAAGAAAAATTTATCAGTAACTTTTGTAGCAGGGTCCTTGAATTGATATTGTTATCAGCTCCAGGTTGAAATACAGGGTATGGCAAATGAAAGACCAATGCCTTTTAACCTATATATTTCTGTTATCACCTGGAGCCATTTTAATTAAACTTGCTCTGAGGATATAGAATATGTTCCCAATATACCTTTAAAAAATTTCATCAAATTTGTTTTTTGTAGGCAAGGTCGTGAGCACATACTCAAAAGAAATGGAATTTGAAGATGGACAGGAGATTCCAGTTCCTTCAGAGACTAAGGAAAAATCTGGATAGATTATATATAACCTTTGAAGAAACACTTTCTATCGAATCTTACTAATTCATGGGTCATTATTTGAAAAATGTATCAAAATCATTTGCAAGGAAAGGCCAGCCCAAAATAAAGGTCTGTTAGAAACATATTTACCTAGGCCAAGAGTAATTTTCATGAAAGACACTTCAGTGAGAGTGCATGTATATAGGTTTAAAAATTTTTTCTTTTCTCATACCCTATATATTTGACAAACAATGAATTACATTAACATAAATGGTCAATCTGAGGATATTTTACATGTCAGCAATTAAAGACTAGCCAATGAAAGCCTGCACAGAGTTTTAAAAAAGAAATTCAATCATACACAATCTAACATTGGGAGCCTAAAGAATATCTCCACATTGTGGATCTTTGGTTATTCAGCTATAACTCTACTTTCTTTCTTGCCTTTATTTCTATCAGGCCCATTTGGAACTACTCCACTTTTGCTTTCACAAATAAATTGATTTTTTGTCTCCTGGCCCTTTCATGAGCATTCCTACCCTTTGGAACTGGAATTTACTATGCAGACAACAGTGTATGTTGTTCCATCTCAGTTCCACTAGCATGACTAGAACTGTTTTCTTGTCTGTTTGTCCCATTAGAAGCAACTTAACAGTAAATTGACAAATATGCCTTGTTTTAATGGAGTAAACTGCATTTTGAGGCATGCCAACATGAATGTGACTCACCAGATTCTGGAATTTAGTACAGTGAAAACTTGTTAACTCAAGCTTTTTGGCACAGGGCAAATCGCTTCAAGTTATCCAAAGCTTGATTAATCAGGAGTTGCCCTTACCCGTGAAAAAAAAAACTTTAAGGGATATAATAGGGATTTTTCTGTTCTCAAGAATTCGATTTCAAGGAGCAATGACCTTCTTGTTATAATTGGCTTTTATTCATGTCTAGGGAAACTTTGATACTCCATATGCAAAATTCATTCATAGCAATCCCTTTCATCCAGTACTCCAGAAACCAAATATGATTGGAATGGCTGGAAGTGAGAGCAATAGATAGACAGGAAAAGTACAAGAGGTTCCTTCTTTCCGTAGCAGAAGCTTTTCGGTTTTAATCCTCAGGTTTAACCAACAGGTGTCTGAGAGGGAGGAGGGAGAAGCAGAAAAAAAGTAAACAAAAGGATTTTCTCTCAAACAGGTTTCTTGCCTATCACCTATTCAATAAACTGATTGGTCTTGCAAAAAATAGGTCCCCTTTCACACCCCGATTTCAAGTTAACCATGAGAAAACTGTAATTGGGAGTGAAAATGTCATTTGAGATATCTGGAAATTCAAGTTAAACAGAGTATTTTACATGGTGTCTTACAGGATTTGGCCAGGACCAAGCATTGAACTTTGAGGAAAGGAGAATTAAGACTTATCAGGATTCAAGTTAGCAAGTTTTTACTGCATATGAACTAGCATCACTGGTCTTGATGAGATAGCAAGTTATACCATTTGCTTGAATGAAAAGTAGGCCTACATGGCAGTCAGAGAAATAGGGGAGGGGAGGGAGAGATGAAGCTAAGAACAGCAGGTAGGCATGTATTACCAAAAGTATTGGGACTAAGGACAATAAGCGAAGCAACTATCATTCCATGTTCAAAACTCTATCAGCTTCAATTCACATGGCATGCTGGCAAAAAAAAGATTGCAGATAACCTCAATATACTTTTGGACTACAGTAATGCCCTCTACCGCATGACTTTGGAGATGATTGTTACTGGCAGAGGGAGGCTTGTCCCGATAATTTTGGTAATATTGTCAGAGATAAAGAAGGAAAGTAGAGCTCATGAGAAAATTAACTCAGCCCATGAATATCAGGCAGACTGGTAAGAGTAAGGTAAGAGAAAGGAAAGCTTGCTCCCATTTCCAAATTGGTCAATACTTATATTCTGGAATCTATCACTTAGCCAGCATGCTTACTAACCTCAGGTTCAATTGGCATGCACCAAAAAGTTGGGTAATTAATTAAATTGTTCTTCTGCTGAAAATAAATCTGAATTTGAGAATACTATGATGATATGTGATAACAGAATAGATATACTGGAACTGACTTATCTGATGGTAAGACTCTAAGGAATGGGTTGTTCACAGGAGATGGTGGGCCTCCAATAGGTGATTCCTGGGTGTATTTTGTTCCAGCCTGTGCTGATGCCTGTTCTTGCACCACGTTGAGGAAAAAAGACACACAGTATAATTTATTGAATTAATAGAGAACACAGGTCAGTGAGAGTGACAGTGACTTCCATGTCTTATCAATCAGTTAAAATCAAACAGACCTTCATACTCAACCGCCTTTCCATTTCATTGATGAACTGCTGCTGCTTGATGGTATCAAGCACCAAGGTATCCATAGCACAGGAGGGAAACCTTTAATCAAGAAGATAGAGAGGCAGTGACTTGATGATCAAGTAATACCCACTGAGGCTTTCTGAGGAATTTGAATGGAAACACTTTTTTTGGGAAATAATACAATTGCTTCAAACAAAAACTGCAGGCTCACCACTCATTGAGTGGTGAGCCTGCAGTTTTACTTGTCTGGTTTCTCAAACTGCTTACTCAAAGAACTCAATTCAAAAATGCAACCAGAATTTCCTACTTTAGGAGAGAGAATGCATAAACTTTGCAGAGCCTGAAACCAGATTTCAAATTTTGGGAGTGCCCTCAAAGAAAATAAAAATAAAAATAAAAGGCTATATAACTCATAACTGTAGAGAAAGTTTGATTTTCCTATATTCTCATTTTCCTGTGAAATGAGCATGAGAAATTTTTATGGTGACTATATCCACTTATTCAAAAAATGAGATTCTTCCTGCTAGCACAAACTGGCATTAGGCACTGTAGGCATGAAGCAAGGGATATGCCCATAAGTGCATGATGGTTTCATAGTAGCCTCCGAACCTTTGCTCATGAGTATTAATTAGGAAATTGGGATGGAACATGAGTAAATCGGAACGGAAGGAGGGGAGTTCAGGAGTAACAGAAACAGCAATTTAGGAGCATTGAGAGGTGGATCAGGTCTAAGAACATCAAGGAATCGGTAAATAAAGATTTTCCTCTTGATCTAGGGCTCTCCGCTCCAGGCCATGAAACGTACACTTGATAAGCCGGCTGTCTCGCATCTTGGTCTTCCGCAAGCGTGAACTCGGGCGGCTGAGTGGGTATTGGATCAGGTCTGAGGAGATCCTCCGGAACTTCTTTGATGGAGTGTCTAAAAACTTGTTCGTTCAGAGGAAAAGGAGGTGGATGTGACATCATCCTCCAATGAAGCTAGGCTGTCAAATTCCACTTCACTTCAGAAGTTCTTTGCAGACACGTGAAAGTGAAACGGCTTCCAATGGAGCACGTGCTTCCATTTAAGTTGCCATTGACCTAAGGTGCGTACGCTGCACATGCTATCCAATGATGCTCAACATTTCCCCCTACTATTACTGACGGAAAATGCTGACGAAATTCATCTATTGATTCCGTGGTTTTGCTTAGTAAGCTCCTTATAAATCTGCTATTAGTCTAAGTAGATGAAGCTGAACTTAATGGCTGCTTACGTTAGAGATACACTCTGAAGGACTGCTGTTGTACACCAGTGCAATTACACATTGCGCAGCCTGTGCAGCAGACGGCGGGTACAGTGGGAGCGGACATTTTTGAATCGAGTCAGTTGTCCGCTTCCTAGCCGATAGCTTGAACTTGTTCTCGCAGCGCATAAATGTATAATTTGATCGTACATTGGCGGTCTTGAAGATGTGATCGATCGGAAGTTTCTTTGCTTGATTTTGCGGCCATTAATAATGGTGGTCATTGGAGAAAAAATTGAGGTTTGTTGGCTTTGCGTCTTGTTTCTCCTAGGCTAGGTCTAATTGACCTCTCAGGCTATGCAAAGGCTGAAAATATTCTCAATTCGTCGGATGTTATACCTTGCTCTATTTCATGCAAAACGGTTCTTTTTTTTTCTCCAGGACTATGAAGTTCATAACTTGTTGGGACGCGGAGGTTTTGCCTGCGTCTATCACGGGAAGTGCAAGGCCAGTGGAGATGAAGTTGCCATAAAGATGGTCCGTGAGCAGTTTGCCTTTTATGAGTAGACCTAGTCCTATAACCTATGTAGACCCTAGGGCAGAATTACAGTGTTTTTCACTTGAGTTAGACAATTTTTCGTTTGACTTAGACACACATGCATGGGAAGTTTCTCATGCATGAGTGTTGAAGTCAAGTGAAAAAGTGTCTAACTGAAGTGAAAAACACTCTGACAGTCATGATTTGCCATGGTATAAGAAGGGATCCTGCCCTTGCTTGTCAAGATATTACCATTCCATCCTATGGATTATGTGAATGGTTGTCATCAGTTTTGTGCAATGATTTGATTTGGGTTTGTTATTGCCATTCAAAGTGGTAGTGGTGAATATGAGGTGTTGCATTGGTGACTATGGTGCTGAAATTAGAACTACTGTTAAACCATATCATTGATTGGGTTTTATTTTCGCAATATTACAAATTCCAAAAGAATGAATTAAGCACCTGGTGAAAAGTAAATGATATGCTTGCATCATTTTGCCCTTCACACTCTCTGAAATATGTCATTTCTACTCGTGTCCAGGAGCTCAGGGCTTAGGATTGGCTGGCTAGAGTACTGTAGTGGACTACCAGCAGAATGGTACCAGAGATATATTACATGAAAATTCTTATAGTAGATTAAAGTGATGTCTGTTTTAGCTGAGAGAGTTGGAGTATGCATCCATAATATTATTGTGTAGATGTAATGGCTTCACTCCATGAGCATCTTGGAGCAGCCATGGAATGCAGGACATGCTTGTTCAGAACCCTGCATCAGCTAGTTGTGGCATGGCCTTCCCAGATGTGCATACTGTACTCTGATTGGAGGTTGGTCCAAGGACCAACCTGACCAGAGTCTCAAAGCACAAGTTGGGATTTCTCATGCCCTTCCAGTCTAGTCTTTGTCATTCTGTCATTGCACTGGCATGATTAGTGAACCCCTCTGATTTTCCCTCTCCAGTTTGGTGTAAAAGGTCAGAGTGAGAAATTCAACCTATTTTGAGGAATGATGGTTCAGTTAGGGTTAGAAAAAGGGTTGTGGCCAAAGGCTGCAATTATCTATGTATATTATTATACATTATCATTATATACATCTCTTGTACCATTCTACTTTTGGTCCATTGAGGCAATCATTCTGAATGGCTTTTTAAATTCTGGACACAATAGTTTATATTACAATTTTTTTTTTTGTAATTGGCATTACTAAGAAAGTCTGGTTCTTCCCTTAGTGGCTCAGGTATAAACAAGGGGAAATTTAAGGAGAGAAATTATGTGAACACAATTTGGAACTGCAAAATATGGTGTAGCATGGAATTTTCACACTGACTTAATTTTTGTAAAATCTTAGTTAAAAATCATGTAAAAAATGCTAAAAAATTTCACGCATTTAAAATTAAGTTTTACAGTCTGGACCATCCCCTACATTTAGACCAACGAGAAAAATTTTTTGAGAGTAGTTTAATTTTTTAAACCTTCATGCTTCATTAAATTTGCAAAATTAAAATTAGTGTGAAAGTTTCTCACTGCATTGTAATTAAATTTCCAAAATCAAGAAATTTCAACCCCACAATTAAAGATTTTTACTGCATTTCAGAGGTGAATATGTATGAATCCTATTTCTAGTACTTATTTGAATTGGCTTTTTCAGACTGAAGAAATTGTTCAAAGGGTAGGTTTCTAATTGATTTTGTTACAGATTGATAAGAAGGCTATGTCTTCTTCTGGGATGATAAAGAGAGTCCAGCAGGAAGTCTCCATTCACTATCGCTTGAAGCATCCCAGCATTGTTGAACTGTATACTTTCTTTGAAGATGAGAATTATGTGTATCTTATTCTTGAACTATGCCACAATGGGGAATTCCAAAAGTATTTGAAGAACCATGGAAAACAGCTAAGTGAAGCACAAGGTGAGCCTCTTGCTTCCTCATTATAGGCTAGAAGAGTGAGCAGTTTTAGAACCTTCACCCATCTTTGGAACTATATCAACTGGGAGCCTGAATTCATGGTAACCCAATAGCTAGGGAAAAGTTCTAATGAGATGGGAAAATCTCTGAAAGTAGAGATCAATGCTGTCCCTTTTTCTAGTCTCATAGTTTTCCTGACATGAATGACTTGTGTGAAGGAATAAGAGAAGAAACCAATATTCCAAGTGAGTTCTTGAGTTCACATAAAGATGAAAATGAGATAAAGTAATCGGGCATTATGTGTAAAAGTAGACAACATTGTGAAAATGATGTATCAAAAAAATAAAGTGGAGCAGGACTGAAACATATTATTATTTTTTAAAGAGTATTTACCTACTCTGATTGATTGGGAGAGTAAAAAACATAAAAGGAAAATCATAAACCAAAGTCACATTTTCTCTTTTCATTTAATGTTTGAGAACAGAGAAGGCATGCATCATAGTTGTTAACACATCCACTGCCAAAATTGACAAGTCAATTTAGAAATTTCACTCCAATTCTGCCACAGTTGACTTAGCTCAATTTGATACATATCACCATGTAACTTAAATGTTGACTACCACACAACATGCCAGCATGTCATTTTTTGTACCACACCAAGGTAAAATAAAAACTTACTGTGTGACATGCCAACAAGTCATGTGATGCCATAGGAAAGAATTAGAAAAACTACCTTGGCAGTGAACATGTTAATAGAAATACAATTTTTGGAACAAGTCAGAAAACATGTCAGTTAACAGGTTACACAATTAACCAAAGGATTCCAATCAATAATGTATGAAAATACATCATGAGCTTCATATTAATTGTAGGTAATAAATCTCCTGGGTCTTCAATGTTCAAAGAAATTTGATGAAGGAAAATTGATTGACAGTCTTGAAAGAGACAATCAGATTTGGCATTTTATGCAAAATGCCCTCAAATTTAATAAATTATGTATTTTAAAAAATTTAATGCCAAATAAGGTTTATATTTTGCTTATAGGACATGACCATCAAGTGCACCCATCTTCCCTTTCCTTAAGCTCTTCACATTATGGTCTTTGTTGTAGCTGGTGACGTTTCATGGACATCCTCGTCTTAGCTCAATTGACAACTCTGATAAACAATTTACCTAAATGTCACTTGGGAGCCCCTTGTTTTTGCTGCCAGTAGCCATGTTTGGAATGGCTTTTCAATAATTAAACTCCTTACTGTGCTTCATCTGCCTTCCTTATTTTACATCAGATTCCTCTCGAGTGTAACGTGTAATATCCTTTTTTCTCCTTATTTTTGTTTTATGTATCATAGGTTTTTTTTTTATTCAGAGGAATTTTTAATCTATTTGTGAGAAGCATACTCTTGATAAACCTGCAGGTATATTGGAAATGTCTGAATCTCTTGTTAATGTCATAGCACCCTAGGGGATTCTAAATCTCCCTGACAAAAAAATTCCCCTTCCCATGCCTCTGCTTGTCCTGCCATGGGCAGGGCTCTTGTGTGTGGACAGCTTGTTGAAGTGTAGAGTGTGGTGCCTGCCAATGTCATTTCTGCTGAAGATTGATAATACTGAAAGGCTATGGTAGTGTCAACAAAAAAAGAAGTTGCAGAAGGAGTGCTAACCTGGAAAGATCTGTGGGAGGGGCTTAGCATATGTCAGACTAAGTGGAACTTGAATAAAATATGACTACTGAACAACCCAAATTTTTACTTTTTTACATACTGGAAGGTCAATTTCCAAAACTCTAGAACCTGCATGTTATAATTGCGTAAGAGTCAGATTGCCAATCACATTAGGCAGCCATTTTCTTAAATAGCAGAGGCCAACTGGAAATGTTAATTTTTATATTAATTACTTCACAAAGAATTGAATCATTTATATGCATTACTTTCTTCATCGGATTCTAACACTCTTGTGAATAAATTATTGAACAGCCATGCTTGTTTTTGTTTTGTTTTTTTTTTTGCTGACCGTTTTATTGCCTGTCTTAAATGAACTGACCAAGTTTATATGTGGATTCAGTTTGACTTCAGATTCACTTAAATTTTGTAAATTGTGTGTTAAATTGCATATAAAGCATTGTTTGTGTAAAATTTTGAAAGAATATCAATAGTTTATTCTTATTGTATATAATGCTTACATTGAAGAGGACTTTTTATGAATTACCAATTGCCATCCCTTTTTCCTCATTGCATCTTGTTCTTTTGGGATGATCTCCTTGTGGTGTCAATGATTGAGGTAACTTTGGTGTCCAAGCCATACTCCATTTGTCTCCTGAAAAATGAAAAAGAAAGGGTTTAAATGTTTGAGTTTATATTTTATTATGCTCTGAATAATGTATTATTCACTTTCATGAAGAGTGATATCCTTTTTATTCTTTTGACAGCTGCACATTATTTGAGGCAGATAGTGAAAGGACTGCTTTATCTGCAACAACACAAGATTCTCCACAGGGATCTCACATTAGCTAATATCTTACTGACAAAGGATATGGATGCTGTAAGTTTAATGTTCATGGTTGCTCAACTGATATTTTTTCTTATATCATTTAATTCTCTCATGAACATTCACAAGGAAATTTCATATCAGATGAATTTTTCCTTTATAATCTGAACACAGAAAATAGGAGATTTTGGCTTGGCCACTCAGTTGAATCGACCTGATGAACGGCATCTGACCATGTGTGGAACACCAAACTTCATCTCTCCTGAAGTGGCAACACGAAGTTCACATGGCCTGGAAACTGATGTCTGGAGTGTTGGCTGCATGCTCTATACAATGCTTGTTGGAAAACCCCCCTTTGACAGCCAAGCAATACGAAGCACTCTGACTAAAGTTGTCATGGGACATTATGAGGTATGATTGATATCTATGCATGATGCTTGTATGTGTTGTTTTAGATCACCTTCCATGTCACCTCACTAACTACTTCTTGAAGCAGGTGCCTATATGCTGTGCACCAATAAACTGGAGGTCACTTTTAAAATTCCTGTTTCTTTGCAACAGGTGCATAGGGTAAGCACCCCAGTTTCTGGCTGGTCTCTAGTTGTTGGCCAGTGAGGCGTAAATCTAGCTTAATTAGTTAAGCTTGATTCTATCAACATCTTCCCATACGAGGAACTATTACTAGTGTTTCCCCAGTTTGCACACAGGGTGTCCACTTCCTATGGGAATTGTATCAGCATGGCCAAGAACTGGGGTGTTTACCATAGTTATTTATTAAATTTTAACACCACATATTCTCACCCGTGGCCCTTGTTTTTATGCAAGCAAGTTGAAATTGAAAGTTTTGTGAAAGAAAACCAATGAAATGGAAAGTTTGCAAATGCACTACCCCTTTCTATGTATGGGTTTCTTGCTGTAAGTATGGATATAATGTTTTTTTCTCCATTTTCTATAGATCCCTGATGGACTCACCATAGAAGCAAAGGATATCATCTCTGGGTTATTGAAAAAAAATCCCATGGAAAGGATGAAGCTCAGTAACATTCTGACTCATCCTTTCATGAGAAAGTACAACCAGGTATGATCTTGTCTAGTGGCTTTCAGGTGCACTGTCATTATTAACTGATTCCATTTCCTTGTTTCTAGTGAAGTTAACCCTTTTTGTGCCAAAACTTTTTCCAGTGTCCAAGTTTGCTGCTGCTAGAACTATTTCCTACATTGTAGATTTTACATATGCATTCAGTAAAATGGTGAAATCTCTGGAACTAGTAAAAAATCATAATTTAAATTTTTTATTTTTTTTACCAAGAAATGAATTCCACTTCAAATTACGTACAAAGTATCCCAGGTCTGAAAAAAGATTCATGACAGCAATCACTGTCCATGGCACAGAAATTGTTTTATTATGTATTGCAATAATGGTTAGAAATTGACTGCTTTTGACATTACATTTATGGTTACTTTCTAGACTTTCTATGGGGAAAGTGGGCTTTCCTTGGATAGTGGGATGGGAACTATGAGTACAAGATCCCAACCAGCTAACATTTTAACAATGAATCCTTTGCCTGAGAAGCTGATTCTGAAAGATGTGAAGAAACTATCTCTTCAAGAGACAACTCCCTCTTGTGTCACCAGGTGAGGTGCATTCTTAATTGTCATTTGGAATCAAGTTCTTAGGGTGAGTGATATGTGTTTGTACTCTTGTACCTACTTTTTGTTTCTAAAGGATTCAACAGAAAGGTCCTCTGAAGCCAATGGAAGTTCATAGTCACAAGTACCCACAACTTGTGGATGGATCCACTTGCAGTGAAGGATTACTGGGCCCATATTCTGTGCAGATGGATGATGAGGCTTCTGAAAATACATCTGCGCATCATAGTGCATGTTTGCCTCAAGGCATTTCAAATGGAAAATGTGATATTTCTGTGATGTGTCAGCAATGTCAAAGGCCTTCCAGCATCAGCAGACCCCGAAGTTGGCATATGCCTGAATCTCATCACCATGGACCTCATCTTCATCCTGGTTATTCAACACAACCCCTCCATCCCCTAGATGATGCACATGGACTGTGCTCAATATCCTGTCAGAGAAGGACCAATCTTGGTTACTGCTGCCATTCCCAGTGTCATCACAGTCAATGTGGAGATTTGGAAAAACATAACAAACAAGAGCAAGAGCAGGAAACGCCCAAAGAAACATTATGGAATCTTACAGAGCCTCTGAATTCTAAGAGACTGAAACCAATGAGACAAAGGACAAAGAATGCCATCTTGAGTATCCTTCAGGATAGTGAAGTTTGTGTTGAGTTCCTGAAAACAAGGCATGGGATTGAGAAGGTGGTGGATGTCTGCAGAATCTCAGAAGATGGTCTCAGGGTAATGTCCAATAAGTAGGGATGTAACAGAATTGAGTTTTTCTGATACACTGATAATACAATATTCTACCCCACAATATCTGATAACCAATATTGAGAGAGCACATCATCAACAAAGCTAGAATTCTCTGAAAGCTAGAATTATCTGAAAGTTAAATTGAGGGAACATGGTTTCCGTCTCTTACTTCAAATTTTCTCTCTTGAAACTAAATTCACTGCCACACCCATCTTTCTTAATATGACTAGTTTGCTTAGGCCAAATATTGTTCTGGGGGTCTTTCCTTACCACTGAATTGTTTCTCTGAGACTGGGTATAGGTCCCTATAGGTATTACATCCACATTGCATATGCCTAGTATTGGCCTGGTTTTCATGGTTACCAAAATTGGCTGAGCAATTTTGGTTTTAAAAGTTTCCCCCTTTAATGAGAATGTGTAATTTACACATGCTTAAGCATTTAAGAGCTGGTGACATTCAATTCCTCAGCCTTTTATTAGTTTTCAATCAACTTCTTAGGCTAAAGTTAGGTTTTAGCCTCAATGTTATAATGTGACTACCAATTGCTGCTGACATCATCAATTAGGCTTAGTGGGGCTCATTCATTTCAATGACATCAGTTCCTCCAAGGTTGTTGTCAGATGTCTTTAGCCTCATTTCCTCCAAAAATATTGTACAGGATGGTCCAAAAGTCACAATCAGATTGCCTTGCTGTAAGATATCATAATTTTATGCTTTTAGCAATGCTTATTTCATTGACATCTTAGTTCAGAATGTTTGCTGTAGATGACATATCTCAATAATGCTCAGCCTATCATGCCATGCACAATGCAGGTTGAAGGCTTTCACCACCAGATAAAACATTTTTATCTATCAATGCAGATATGGCTTGCCATAGCATGAATGCTGCACAGTTGGTTCAGGTTGATACATGGATGTTTCCAAAACTATAGTGATTTTCAATTGATTGCATCCCCTCCTACAATGTCATAAGCAGAAATTGTTTAATTCACTCTTCAGTCACTGATTTTGCCTGAGGCAGTTATTTTGAGACAGTAGATTTCCCTTAGCTGGATGACATAGTGTCATACAGAAAAGGGTGGAGATTGCAATCAATTGAAAACTCTGTTCCATTCTGTTAACCCTACTTTTAAAATCCATATTCACAGTGACAGATGCAATGCCCAACGTTCAGTGGATGTGCTTGCCCATTATTTATTTCTTCAGGCCTATTGTATCAGCACCAAGGGAATAGGAATTCATTTTGCTCTTGTGTAAAATCATATTTCATCTGGAAAAATATTAGATCTGCAATGTTTTTTTAAATCTTTAACATCAGGTGTGATGTTGATGTGTCTTCCTTACATCCCTTATCAGTAAGTATTCCTTTCTTTGTTATCTAATGTAAAATAGATTGAGAATCTGGAGAGTTGATGGATCTGAACTTACCATCATGTTTTGTATGATTGTAGGTAGTGATGTACCGTGTCAATCGTGGGAAAGGTTCAGAGCCTAAGGATGATCCTCCCCCAGTGCCGCCAGAAGGAGCTGATTGGCTGTTCAACTTTGAAAGTCTTCCTGAAAAATATTGGAAGAAGTATCTCTATGCTGCTCGTTTCATCAGCCTAGTGAAAGCAAAAACACCTAAGGTGACGCTGTATAGTTCCAGGGCCAAGTGTCATTTGATGGAAAATGAACCAGAACATGATTTTGAGGCTTGCTTTTATCAGGGTTAGTACTGGAACTTGTATGGAAGCATCTTGCTTTCATTTTTTTTTTTTCATCCAAACATGCAACAAAGTGAGGGTCCATTTGTTTCTTAGGAGAAAGAATAACTCAAGTGAAAGGTAACATACAAGTAACTGATGGGACTGGGAAGACATGGACAACAAGTATGAAAGAATATTTCAACTTGGATTCATCCATTCAAGATCTGGTCAAACATTCTGAAGAGGTATGACTAAATTACATGCATCTGAAACTTTTTCAGTGTGTAATTGAGGCATGACTTGCATTAATATGAATGGAATTTTGTGCTGGTGTACTTAGTGCTACAGTCATTGCTTGGATGTGGAGAAGGTAATGACTGTGCTGGAGAAGAATTCTAATAGGTCATGTTTCCCCATTACCATTGGAAGAAAGCAACCACCTCAAAAGGATGAGACACATAGCCACAGCAACAAGGAAAATGAGTCTTTCTCACCTCAGCACTTCCCACTCACTCCTCTGGTGAGTTTTCATGCAAAAAAAATGTATGCATCCACAAAAAAAACAGATTCCATAAGTTAATGCCTATATTGCAATATGTTATTTTCCAGCTTTCACCCTTTAATTATCAGTAATCATTTCTGATTAACAATGACCCATAAATGTTGAATGGCACTGTTAGTTTCCGAGTGGGATTGCACTCTTGAATAGTTTCCTTTTGAAGAGTCTTGCTTGACATTAAAATTTTTAGTCATCTCTGTGCAGATGCAGTTGAACGGTAGTGACAAATGTCTACATAGAAAAATCCCTTTGAAAAAGAGTGGGTTTATTTTCAAATTATATGTAGAGCAGGGGTTGCACTAAGTTTCTTGTGCTGGCCAGCCCATATGCCCCAGGGGTCCTGGGATGCACAAGTTGTAGATGTGGTTGCTTGGCTGACACAACTAAGAGACTTTGGTCTTCAATCCTAGAGTTATGAGACACAGAAGTACGATCCATTTGCTTGTGCCAACCCTTTTGCAGGCAAATTTTGTATATGTGCAACCTTCCCAGGGCATCAGAAAGGTTGAACATTTTCTGGGAAGTATACTTCCCACTGCATGCAAAAGGGTCCTGATGAATACAAGCCATCCAAGCAATCCTTTACATTCTAAATATAAAACTTTTAACTCAATTGCATTTCCATTTGGTAGCCAATAGTTTTGACAAAAGAAAATATCACTGGTATTTTCATATAACTCACATGACTGAAATTGGAAGTGAATTGGCTATTGGCCTTTAGGAAGGCCAATTAAATTTGATTTGGAGCAAATGCACTGTCCAACATTGACATTGCAACACCAAGGAGCTGAGTGATATTGATGAAAATTGGTACACCTACTCCAAATGTGTTATGAAATATGTATATGAGTTTAAAGGATATAGTTGATTTTTCATTGTGAAAACTTGCTAAACACCCTAATGAGGTAGGAAGTTATACTAATTGCCCTGAAGACATATTCAGGAACCCATTATGAAACAGAAATCCTTAATGGTGTTTAGAAGAATTAGTGGATTGGAGCAAACCCTCCCTCTGGACTTCCAAGGGTTAATGCCAATTACTTTTTTGCTCAAACCTTACTGGTTTTGCACCCTTTTTGCTGGGTGTTTCATTGCGATGCCATGCCAGGAGGATGTTTCTCAGTGAAATATTGTCAACTAGTTTTAGCATTTAATTGATCTTGGTTGCTTGAAATACTCAACATACATCAGGCTGGTGATGCAATCAAGCACTCAAATACTACAAGGTAAAGAATGAATGGCATTTTCCATTCTAATTTACCACTCTCCATGTCTATTGCATGCATGTGCTTCTAAGAGGACACTGACTCACATCCAGAAGCAAATCTTGAACATTTCTGCTCCTTGTTTGTTCTCAACAATGTCATGATAGCAAAGTGGCTTAACACGTTGACGACCAGCCTATTTTTGCTTGTCCGCCGCATGGGACCACGCACATTTTTTTTGTCAAAAAATGCGTCCTGCCATCAGGATGCATGGTCCCAGAAAACATTTTTTTTGCTGAGTTTTTTTTAAATGTTGAATTTTTTTGAATTTTTATCAGTAATTACGAAATCATAATCTTCTGGAACGTTCTCAACAGTTCCATTCATTGAAAAAAAATCTGTATCCTGGCATCAGGATGCATTGTCGCCAACGTGTTAAGGGAAGAAGGAAACTAACTTTATCAATAAAGCCACCACCCTCTTCCTCTATTCCTTGGACATTTGGTAAGTTTTCCCTTGTTTTTAGGATGAATGATCCTATGAAATTAAGACTTGAATTTGTCTTTTTAGACATTAGGGGTTCTTGTTCCACATTTCATTCAACTCTTACATCAGTTGAACTCACACAATCATGCATGCAGGTGTGCACGCATACACATTTTGATGCTTGTTTGATACAGGATATCTTGCAGTATGTAGGCTAGAACTGGAGTAAGATAGTCATATGCAAGAGATTTTACTCATTTTCTTGTTCAAGCAATCTCATCAGCTCTTTTGTTCATCTCCTCTCACTTCTTATATAGTAAGAACAAGGCAGGAACATAAGTACCCCTCCTATGC